GTCAAGACCACTACCCGTGGTAGAATTGAGAGAACCTCATGAAAATGGTAAGTTAAAAGTAATGGATCTTATCGGACGCACTTTTATTGAAAAACACTGGACAAGGATTCTTGTATGAGGGCTGGACACGATTACGTGAGCGGGGCCGAAAAAAGCCGCACAGGCGCGCGAGCTGCGAACTAAAAAGAGAAAGGGAGGTAAAGAAAGAGCGAAGGTTTTCTGATAAAATGTTCCGTGGGGCTTGACGGTAAAATACTTGGTTCTTAGTGCGCGAGGTCCGTACGTCATAAACTCGAGCCACATTTTTCTGTCCGGCCCTCCCACCCGGTCAAGAAGTACATAACTTGTCGCTTTGGTCGACTAAAGGTCTCTTGCCGACTCAGATCTCCGTCAAAATATTGTTGTTAATGACACTGCATAAAGAGTGGTGACCCTGTGTCAGAACAGGGAATAAGATGGTGAAGTTATCCCGTTTATATTCCGTAACAGAGAGTGAAGATGACGATAGTGATGTGACTCTACAGGAGATGAGTTTAGACAGTGCCTTGGAACTTGATTCTGGTCAAGATGAAAAGAGACAAGCAGCTGGAGACCTGCAAAAAGGTAAAAATTTTAGATTTGCACCACTATTAACTGGGCTTTGAAGCCATATGTTGGGTTTGTCGTTCCCGTATTGGAGTCTGATTCCAGAATTGATTAAAAAACAGCTCACACGCGAGGATCATTCAATTAATTGAAAATGAAAATTATTTGATGAACGTTTAGAGGTCATACTCCAAGACCGAGTCACTCCTTTGTGACATTCCAATTTTCTTACAGTCTTGGCCCCAGCTTACCTCAATCCTCCCTCGACTGAGAGTGACAACGAGTTTAATGACGAAGACACGTGGGCTGCAATAAAGAAACAGGCAGGTACAGACTTTGAGAATGCGGAGAAGGGAGGAGAAGCCGACTCCGATGACGACGACGATGATGAGGATGACAGTGATGTGACAATCAGTGACATATTCCCTCTTGTAACCTCCACTCCGCCTGTTGCCCTAAAGAGGGGTCAGCCTCCAAAGAGCCAAGCAGCAGATGCAATTGAGGATGAACGGATGCTGGCTGCGTCGACCCCACCAACATCAACGCTTGTTACCAAGCTGTTTCCCCAGCTGAAGCCGAAGCAGAAAGCTGCTGTAAGTTATTCAGTGTTAATTCGTGTAATGAACATAAGCAAAAAGCTCTCTGTACTATTCCTGTACCGATTTGTAACTTTCAAGGCCTGGCCTCACGAAGTGATAAGTTGTTTGGCCAGATCTTTGAGAAAAACTGCCGTGTTAGCACTGCTTCCAAAACAATACAAAAACAGTGATTTTATGGCTGAATTATTCGCTTACAGTGCATTTGAGCGACCTCTTTTGGAAACAAAATTCTGGCGAAAGTATGAAGGTTCTTTTTAAAAAGTTCTACGTCATAAGTTTTTCGCTGCGACTTGTCTCCGTGACACATCTCTCGATATATCCTGGTGCTTTTTTTCACCTTTTTTTACGTAAAACCTGTTCAAAAGCATTGCAGTTAAGCAATACTGGCAACCACAGGATTGGTATATTGTACTCGAAAACTCATAAAATAATCGAGATACTTCACCTGACTCGATCAAGACTCCTTCCCGTAAGTAATTAAAGAACTGATTGCATGAACTTGAGACTTTCAATTCCCGCCGGTCGAATGGTCTATCTCAGACCCTCGAATAGCTTTTGGCGTGAACAGTTATGCTCGGAGATGGACTTCATCGATTTCAAGCGAAAAACAATTTCAATGATCTTTATCGTTGTGTCACCAAAGCCGGCTGTCGCCAAACAAGCCACAAGTGATGTTCCTAATGCCCAGGGGCAGGAGGAAGAGCCTGTAGACACGGTTCAGAGTACTGCGGTCAGGGAGAAGCTCAAAGAATTGGAAGCAGAGATTGAAAAGTTCAGGACTGAGAATGCAGCTCTGGCCAAAATTAGAAAAGAGCGGGAAGAGGTGTGGGAACAATTTGTTATTTATTTGTAAGACGAATAGTAGTGTATGGTGTCACATTATGCGGTATACGTACCTCTTACCAACCGAGTTCGAGGTCCGTCCTGTAAGTTGCAGAACGATTTCTTTCGGCTCGGATTTAAGGTCCAGGGGCGAGGCGTGCGGGCCAGAAATCCGAGTGGAAAAAAACTCGGTTCTATAAATTTCAGCACGGATCAAGAAAACGAGGTTATGAAGACATTTTTTTTATCTCTCTGAGTTCAAATAGAGGGGAAAGATTTAAAATCAAACAAACCTTGAATTAGCGGGCCATACAGTGAAATACGGTTCGCAAACTTGACCAATCATAGCGCATGCACCAACTAAGAGATAAAATAACGACGTTAGCAGAGGGGAATCCCACAGCCGAATACAAAGAATCTCGTTTGTTGAAAATTACGTTTTTTTATTTTTGCCATGTCAAATGATGCATTGCAAACCTTATACCTAACTTTTGGTGTTTGTATCCGTTACATGCTGATCAAACAGTCTCATATTTTACAGGGCTTGAAAAAGCTGCAAGCGGAAATAGCTGCGTTTGAGAAACAGAAAACGGATGAACTCGAACGACTAGAGCAGTTTAGGGAGGAAGAGATGCGAAAGCTACGGTATGTGTTCATGGCTGGTCTCTTTCAGGCCTTCAGTTATTAAAACAAAGCGCGATGGTAAATGGCGAGATAGTAGCGGAGGAGTGAAAAGACGAGTGAGGTTTGGGTCGGGTTACCTGACCCGACCCAAGCTCCTCTCGTTTTTTTCACTCCTCAGCAACTCCTCCGCTGTTTATTATTTCGCTCCGGTTCATGACTAGTTAACAACCGGTAACAAGCGTGATTTCAAGATTCGAGACAGCTACCACTGGATTAAACACAAGATTCTCGTTAGCTCGCCCGTTCGTGTGCTCGTTAATGCTTGTTGAGGCTAACTGAAATTTAGGTAAGCTTCTCAAGTCATTGCAGCGGTTTTATCGATGTTATGCAGGGCACTTTTTGCAAAGGAATTTCCATGTGCTTTTCTCACTTTCCTTTGTTACTTCGCTTGCTCACAGCCTCTAAACCATTCATATGCCAGGTGAAGGATTTTTCATAAGTTTACTGATCGATCATATAACTCGTATATGAGCTTTCCATCAAGTTTGGATCATCAATTAGGTTTAAGTAGTGCCTAGTATACTTTAATCACAAAGTGTCTTCGGATCAAGATACCATACATTCAATCTTACAACTTGTGCATTTTAGCCGCGAAAGACGAGTGTTTGAAAAGTATCAGAAAGCTGCCCGTTCAATGCCAGACAAGAAAGAACGCGAAGAGATCGAGAGTTTACGAGAACAGGTAAAAACGTTATTCTGTAAAAATAAGTTTTGTTTATGCAGCCTTGAACAAAGAACGGTAAAGGAATTGAGCTGTCTCATGTCTAATATGACAAACGTAGACTGGAACAAACCAATTGTTCTCTCGCTGGTTTTTATCATGGATAAATGAACGTGGGCAAAAATTGACTACTTTAAACTACCATACCCCTCAATAGATGGCAGATTTGCAAGAAGAACTTAAGCGACGCGAATCTCGTTGGTCAGCGGCTTCTACACGTTCCCGCCAAAAGATCGAGGTCTTGGAAGAACAGAACAAAGAACTTCAAGAAGAGGTGAAGCTTTTAGAACACTATCGATTGCAACAGTGGAGAGAAGAGGAACAAGCGAAGGTGAGATATACCCCAGTGAAACAATGTGGAGATACATTAGCTGTGTGTGACTTTACCAGGGTGTTAGTAAGTCTGACAGAGCTGAATAACGTCTGCGCATGCGCTGGGCTTTGGCGCGGAAAACGAACTTCTAGGTGATATTTCCCTTGCCGCTTCTCTTTTACAGAAACTTTCAAAAAATCTTTACATCCCCTGGAAATAGGAAAAGGCCTTCAACGACAACAAGATGCCTCGGTTTTAAATGCCAGCCCCTTTTTTTCCTCAAATTTCGCTGATTTTTCAACCTCGTACACTTGAGCCCACGTTATTGACCGCTTACTTGTTACGTAGCATTTCGCTGTTCAGCTCCCCTAGTGAGTCCCACAAAACAAAATTAACATTCATTTTGAGAACTTAAAATCTTTTCACAGGCGAAAGAAGAAGAGGAGTCAAGACCGAAAAAACCTTTGCTGCGCAAAACTGCTAAGGCGACGGAAGAAGGTAACTTGATACATGGTGAGCTGGATTTCTGTTTTATCCCGGCAGAGGCAATTTTGATTTCTTCTGACTTAAGAAGAGTTCGTTTAATATTCCAAATGGATGTCAAACTGGGAAGAAAGAGGTTTACATTACCGACGTACATGGTTGGGAATGCCAAAAAGCAACAAAACTGAGAGCAATGAAGAAAATGTTTACCCCGTGGTAGGAATCTGCTTTTAATGGAGCTTTTAGCACTGGAAATAGCGAACTCAAACTACTCCTGCTATAATCATAAGGATTGCAAACGTCATCATTCCTGTCATATTTTTCAACAAATGCTTTTGTACATTTCTTTCGATCAAGTTTGCTTAATAAACCTTAACTCTTGTAAATAGAATAAGTAAGATGATAAGTTTTGAGCTCCGTAAAGAAATATATTATTATTATTATAATTAATATTTATTAATAAATAAAGAAAGATGCGTGAGGCAAAGAAAAAAGAAGAGTCCCTCATGAGGAATCGAACCTCAAACCTTCGGATTCCGCGCACTGATGCTCTACTCTGAGCCAATAATATTAAATATATAACCTGTATATAATATATACAAACTTAACTCGTCTTCTTAACTACCTTAATTCCTCAGAGCCAGGGCCCAAGCTCCCCGTGCGTCACCGATCTCCTCCTATGAGAGCAGCTCTTGCTGAAGTACTGCCCAGATCTACTCCTGAAAATGCTACCATTGATCCTGAGACCAGGTGATATAGACACACTGGCTTGATGTATTACAACTATCATAATTACAACCAGTGCTATTTCCCAAAATGTGATTGGTGGATGACCGGTTCTTCTGTTGTTGATGCTGTTGTTGTTGGTATTTTTCTTTCAACCGATTATTCTTTCAAATTGTATTCGGACAGTTATATCAGTTGATAACACTGAGTACACTTAAATGAGTCCACCAATCACCGCCTCCATTACATTAATCATGACAAAGACAAAATTCTCATCCAAAGCTGGGGAAGTACCAAAGCGGAGGGATTTAGTTCATAGGACTTATGTCCACGGTTCTTCAGTTTGAAAGTTGGAAGCCAATCTTCCAATAATTACAATTTTTCTCGGAAATTGCGATATTTTTGTCGTCCAATTCGATCCGTGATCTTACCTAGAACTGATGAAGAACTGCTCCCTGTTGGCATTACCAGTAGGAAGCGATGGAAAGCGGATGAAAAGCGGATTTTGAGAAATTGACGTAGACTGACTTCCTTATGAATTTTTTGGCAGGCTACCAAGTGCTGCTATACAACTTGATAAAAACAACAATCAGTCATCGAGTTCTCGCCAAGACGAAAATACACCATCAGATGTACTTTATAATGAAAAGGAAGAAATCAGCTCTGGTTTGAAGCCTGTGGATGATAACAATCACGATACAATGAAATCTAAACGAAGGTCAGAATTCCTTTATTTTCTACCAAGCTTCTTTTCCACACTTTTTTGACGTGTAGATCCTTAAAGATATCGGATTGGCTGAGAAACCTCAAGGGAATGTATCAACCAATCAGTAATGCGCTACGACGCAATCGGCAATGTGCACAAAGCAGCCATTCGAGGCTGTCTCGAACACGTCTCTAAGTGGGTGTACGTCTCTCAGTGGGTGGAGGGGATATTGTCGTTTATGCTGCGTCGTTTTGAATCATCTCTGAAACATCCTCCAAGAGAGTGAAGAGAAGGAGGGAAAAGGCTTCACATCACGTGTTTATTATTACCTCTTTTGCTTTTTTTAGTCCTCGAAGAAGAAGCAAAACGCCAGAAAGAGGAGAAAAGTTTAAACGAAACGTTCATTTCCAAGATGAGGAAAAATATGATGAGAATAACGCAAGGGAAAGCAGCAATTCAGATGAAAGAAATAGACAAGATACAAGAGAAATAGTGCATCCTGATGGAAAGGTAATGTTCAATTGACAAAATCGGTCAAACTGAAATATTGTTACTCCTCCCGAATGGTATGCTGGTCCATGGCAGTAACTTCTCACCGGTTTGGAATATTTCTCTGGCTGTTGGGAACATGGCTCTCGAGCCAAAATTGCCAATCCAGCCGGAGCTTATGCCAGTTTCCACACTATGAAGTGATAATGAGATTTTCTATTTCCCCTAAGTGGGATGCCAAGCTATCCTCCGCACCCTCACAACCCCCCCCACCCCCCCCCCCAAAAAAAAAAAAAAAAAACGAAAAAAAAAAGACAAGAAAAAGGAAAAATACTTGTCAGGTTTGTTTTTAAGTTCGCAAGCACTGTTCACATTAGAACTTCTGTCGGAGAAAGGTGCTGTTAGAGTCAAATCTCTTTTCCACAAGAGGGCTCTGATCCAGTCCTCTCTAAGACCATCTAAGACCATCATAAGCAATCTAAGACCAGCATTTCTCTACAAAAGATAAATTAAACGAATTATATTTCCAGGTGGAGAAAGTTAATAGTGACGGCTCTCGTGTGATCTCCTTTGCAAACGGGACAAGAAAAGACATCAGTGTCGACGGCCAAACTGTCACTGTCACTTTCTTCAACGGAGATGTCAAACAGATCATGCCGGACCAACGAGTGGTGAGGCGAATGTCAAACGCCAAGCATTCTCGCTTGCTTGCAGGACCTCATTATTGGCGTTGCGGTTAGAGCGTTTCTCAGCCAGCGAGAAAGGTGAAAGCCTGGAGCAAAGCGATGAGTTTGCAAGGGGTCTAGCACTAGTACTTAGTGCCAAAACTCCGCTAACTGGCATTGCTCAAGGCCTCAACTTTCTTACGGGCGAAGCAACGCTCGTGTGGCGTCACTTTCTTAACTATATAATCCCGATTTTGTTTTTCGGTTACGCCAAGGATGGAAATTTACTTTTCATGTTCATGTTCTATTCCTTTTATCAGATGTATTATTATTCTGACGTTCAAACAACTCATACTACTTATCCAGACGGGCTGGAGGTTTTGCAGTTTCCCAGGTTTGAGTACAGTAAAATGTGTTACACCCCTGAAGTTTCTTAAAGCCTAAACCGCAGCAAAACGCCAACTCACCATTGGTGTTAGCTTTGCATCCGACTGATTTAGAGACTTGCTGTGGCTGAATGTTTTTAGACCAACCTCAGAACGTAGCGATGGAAATTTTTTTTTTTATCTTGTCAAATTTTTCTAACTAAAGTGGATTGGCTTGACGAGTTTCCTTTTCAACTTTCCTTTGCGAATAAACTTTTGGTTCATGTGTCTGCGTGCCTTCCTGAATAGATAAAAAATACGCCGTACTTTATCGCAATTTCCGCTTCATATCCAGTTTCACTTTTGTCTTTTTAGCAAACAAATCGAGAAGCATTATCCCGATGGGACTAAAGAAATTATCTTCCCAGATCAGACGATAAAGTATTTGTACCCGAACGGAGCAGAGGAATGTGTATTTAGTGACGGTACTATACAGAAAGTTAGCGTGGATGGCGAACGAACCATTGAATTCGCAAATGGACAAAGAGAGACACACACGAAATTCTATAAAGTGAGCAGAATTAGTCTTAGTTTCTAGTTAAACATTTTGGCCAGTATTCTCAGACAACCGGTTTCTGAAGTTTGAAGCTGTTGCTTAGCCACTTGCTATGGCACCCTCTGGTGACTATCCATCGCTGGTAAAACCCCAACATTTCATCAGGTTTCCCAGAATGCTCGTGTGTGCTCAGTTATTCTTCTAAGTGGAGAGAAGCGCCAAGAAATGACATTGTTTTCGCCAAGAATTGAGATTGTCGAAACTCAGGTTTTGTTGGTGCGCCGGCCTATTTTTAGCTCGTCGATCGCTTTGGCGACAGTGATGAAATGTCACCCTTTTACCTCCACTGCATGCTGGGAAATATGCGGATGCCTAGTGACATAAAATTTCTCTGAGCGGACCGAAAACTTAGAAAACGTTATTCAGTTTGTTTTAACTTACTGCTATGTGAACTCAGTTTTCGCACATTTCCGTATACAGCCAGTGTCAGTTACGAACTTGCTTTTTACAGAGTTAAGAGTTCTCTGCTTAAAAGAACTTCTACCGTGTCTTAGTACAACAGCAATAACTGGTTATCTTTTTCTCCCATTCTTGTGTAGAAAAGAGAATACCCTGACGGGACAGTAAAGACGGTCTATCCCGATGGTCGCACAGAGACCCGTTACGCTACGGGACGGGTGCGGGTCAAAGATCGAGAGGGTCGCATCCTCGTCGATGCTCCCCACCAAGACAGATAACAGTAGCTTCAGCGGTTTGAGAGAATACTCCTCGGATTGTCAAAGAAAATGGCCTGACTTACTTACGAGACAAAAGTAGATAACGTACCGTATTAATACTGAAATCTTGTGGGTCTTTAAGGTCGTGTTTTTGCGATTGTGAGAAAATCGCGAAATTGAAGACCTAGGAATAAAAGTCCTCGAAGAATTTTAACATGTGGAATTGAATCGCCCATAAAAAATTCAAATCACCGGTAAAAAAAGATCAACATGTAATAACCACAACATATACAGAACATGTGTCGGCAAATACAAAAATTATATACTGGTCTTACTGGTAAATTCTATGTTGGATCTTCCGTTATGAAATAAAATCTCCATTTGAATCGCCTATATTTGAAAAACCTCCTTCGAATATCTTTCGTGCAGTCGTCAAATGTTAAGACAAATTGAAAAGTAACATGAAGTTGGGTAGGTTTGATTCGCGAAATTTAACGCTATTGACTTTACGATAGTAAAACCCCGAGAAATACCGTCTCGCCAAAAGCGCCAAATTAAGTACAAATAAGGTAGTTTATAAAATCAGTGGACCTTTTGTAAGTATGAGTGAAGTAAATCTGATTTTGAATGTATGTTTAATAGATGTATCCCCACTTATTTCTGTAATTGTAGTTTAAACGAAATATTTAAGTGAATCGCTCTACATGAACACTTAAAAGATTGTACTTGTTGTTATCATATTGCTGGTAGCGCCCGTGGGCACTATGAAGCGAATACTATGTTCTGATTGGCTAGTGGTGCGGGTACACAAAGTTCGTAATTTTTGGACAATGTCGGCTATGGAGTCACAAAAAGTGGCAGAAGACAGTCAAAACAAAAACATATGCGACTCTCGCTGGTCTGTTGTGCTACAAGCACAGTTCGCTTTGTCAGAACAAATGTCAGACCTAAATAATTTTTTAAAGGAAGAAATGTTACTGTCGCTGGTTTGAGGTTGACTCAAAGATAATCACGAGTTTTATCAGAATACGATTACTGTCGCAAATTTGTTGTTAACTCTCCCTTTATAACACGAGTTTTTCGCATTAATCTCCTATGGTTGTCATCATAAATTAGAACTTCAAATCGGCTAGCAATCGGCAAATCATTGCGAGGAACATTTCAAATGTCCGCATTAAACTGCTTACTAAACTTGTTTCCATACTCCTCGGCGAGCTGTTTGAAAGCTACTACCACATTGTCCTCCTCGGGACCCAGCTCTTCAAGAGAAGTACTGAGAAGAAAGAAAAAGTTCAAAGTTATTTCCCTAATAAATACCCTAATACTTCCTGACCTAAACTTACTTAGCCAAGATCTCCTGCCATGCGACTTTTGGAATTTACCGTTTAATTTCTTAGTGGTTGCAGCTCAATGGACGAAACAGTAAACTTAAGTGTCCGTAAACTTGTCAGCTTTCGACCATAACGGTTGGAACTATCGACAAAAACTACAACAACACTTAACCCAATGTTTTCTTTTGTTCTAGTGTACAACGTTTACTTTCGCACTCGCCCGTTAAGTTTCGTTAGATGATTAGGACTGGATGTTGCACTAGTCGTAAAACATTGAAAGGTCGACACTACACCACAAACAACCATTCTTTACCTGATTGACTTGATGGTTAGGAGAAAATCCTTTAATATTTGAAAAACTTCTCCAGCCTTGATTCTGCGAAATAAACGTGCATTCGACTCATAGTCATGCCTGAAGAAAACTCCCAAAGATCCGTTTGCACAATGGTGGTATGTGAGCCACTAAAAGATATGCAAGCCTATAGCAAGTGTTTTCCTCGAATCTTTTAGCTAACCGCACCCAATGTTAACTGGTACGGAACGTGGTGTCTCTCCAGCCATGGGGATTAGCTTTGCGGTTAATTTACAATGCACTTTTTTTCCCTAATGCTTGGCAATCGACAAACAGAGGCTTACGAGTAAAGGATGACTTGAGGGGTTAGTAAAAATTCAAAGGCAAGTGACTTACAACTGTCACAGGGTGCTTCAAAACATGAAGCGACCAAGGGTAATGATGTGTTCCTCTGTTAGTCCACTGTAGGTTGTCTAAGCATTTCAGTGGATTTCTCTAATATTTTGTACTCCTAAGTGAAGAGTGGCTCTGTGATGAAAGTGTTTAACTCTAAAAATTGATCTCTCCTCGATCCAGCGATTAAGATGCCTCCTCGCTTCTTTCACCGGATTACTTTTACAAATACATCTGTGATTTATTTACTGACCCGTTTTCTCTCCCAATGGCTTTAACAGACCCGTGCTTGAAAAAATCCAGAGCATAAGCATTCAAGGGCAGAGCACTTCCAACTGAGTTGCATTTTTTCAGACGGAGGATGGGAACAACATTGATGTCGGTATAAACATCTTGTCGAACAATCTGAAAGAAAAATTCGACGCCGAATTTGGTAACGGTGTTAAATTGGTGTTGTAACTACTTGAACTGCCACAGAGCGAAATAAATTCGATTGCAAAGTTCAACGTTAAACCGTTGTTAAAATACACAAAAACTTTTAAGAAGTTATAAAAACTGTTCGTAAAGTATTTTTACGACGTTTCAACGATGCTTCACGAAATTATAAAATCAAGAAGGGCAAGTGAAAACATATAAAGTACTGAAAAAGAATAGACAGATTGTTTTCTAATGGATATAAGGTAAAAAACTCATAAACTCATATTAAGCATGCAACTTTCTCATAATCAAAAGTGTCAGTTAATAAATTTAACCAGTGTTTGATCGTTTAGGTTGTTTTAGAAAACTTCCACCAAATGAAGTGCAAGCACTTTCCACAGGCTTTTACAAGTATACTAAAATAACGAAAGAACAAAATGCATGCAACCAGCGAAATTACGTCGAAAGTAATAGAGAATTTTTTTTGGAATTTTAATGGGCACGGGGTATTGGGAAACTTTTTTCACCTCAAGGAGATGATCAATTGGTTCTTCTTCCTCATTTTCTTCATCAAGCTGAACTGTCACGTTCTCTTTGGCTACTTCGGTATCTCTTTCGTCTGATTCCGGATAACTAGCTGCGGTACCGCTCGAAGAATGCACTTGAAAGTCTGAATTTCCCGACAATGCAGCGAAGGAAGAGCAGGCGGAGTACGGTATAGATGAGGACACGAGCCTTTTGATAATATCGTGCTTGTCATCGTCACCAACACTTGCTTCCTTTGGAAATTCTACAAAAGAAGTTTACTCCATTTGATAAATAAGAACGTTTAACATCAAAATTGAATTTACCTACGTTTTGTGTTTAGCTTAGCCTTGCTCACGAGTTTGTTTCTATCTTTTGAACCATTTCCTCAGGTACAGTGAACACCAATTAACTAATATACGATGTAGTTCATATGGGAATGTGGACTGAAGTCTGTAAACAAAGGAGAGGGGCCCATTTTAGCCCAGAATGAGAATTTTGCTAAGAATTATCCTCTCCGATCTGGAAATAGAATTGGCAAAATAGCACCAAGCCTTTCTTTTTGCCTTTGCACAGAATTGACTCGTCGGTGTCACCTGCCGAAAAAAAGACAAAGAAACAAACACTGACAGAACATGTCAAGTGTAATTCTAATCAAAGATGTGAAAGACAAATGATTGTTTTCACGAGAAAACAGAGCCTTGCAATGCGAAGGAACTGGTCATGGATCAACTTGAAAATTTTACTTCCCGCCAAAATAACCAATAACTCATAGCACGGCGAACATTGGTAAAAAAAAAAAAAAATTGTAAAATAGAAAATCATAAGGGATCGTATTTTACCTATGCCCGATAAAGGAAGTTTGTTCTCCTCTCCTCTTTCCCTTTCGAGGTCTGCAGCCACCGTAGTGAGGTACTGACTGAAGACATCTGTGACTTGGCGGTTGTACTCTCTTAGAGCTGAAGCAAATTCATCTGGAAGATCCTCCAAAATTACCTTGAAAGGGAAGAGATAGATAGAAGAAAAACAAAAACCGAAAAAACAACAAATGAGAATCATCTATTTTCAAAAGCATAGGAAAGCTAATGATAGTCAAACAACGAAACGGGCTCAACTGAGATACAGCTAAGTTCCTTGAATTATGCTCTGATAATGAGAAGAAGTATATATGTACGGTATTCAATTTGTCTTGACGGACGGTTTAGAAACTTACTCTTATCAGTTAAGCCACTCCAAGACGACTTCGGTCAAAAAGTGCACGTTAAATGCCAATTAACTTCTCTACAAAGACCAGTTAATAAATAACTGAGCCCAGTTTTTTAAATGATGGATAACTCTATCCGACGGATAAATCACTGACCAGGGGATAAGGGTTAACAAAATTTACAGCGCTATGCACCGGATAGAGATTTATCCAGCAGATAGTGTTATTCACCCATCGAAAAACCGGTGCTTGATCGACGAGAAAGCGTTTTCTTGACATACTGACAAGTTTTAATTTATCTAAGTACTTTTCTTTTGCAATACTTATTTTGTTAGCTACGATAGAACTGTATCTCTCCCGATAAAGGCCCTAAATTACTCTTCTAACTCGCCATTAAATGGCCACTTCTCTGAAAAGGCCAAATTTACGTGCACTAAAGGACGGTATGATTAAAGATATTTTGGGTGAGCATTAGGTGGGCGTCAAGATTGAGTGACAATATTGACCAAACTCGTCATTATGATACGTTATCATTAATGCTAAATGACAAAAACTAACACAATTTTACATAATAAAGCGTGTTAAAACAGCCTAGCATTTTTTAAGATTTACAAATACATACTTTTGACGTCGAGCATAAATGGACCGTTCGTTTGTATGAAGCGTGAAGGGATCGTCTGCCGAACAAGTGGCTTAAAACGAGCACCATCTTCCTCAACACGTCGTCTGAGAATTTTCCTGTGATGGCAATTGATTGTATGATATCATGAGGATTCTAATCCTCCATAACCTTTGGTTGGAGGCTGTGAATATTTTGTACAAAAGGAAGATAAATAGTTCTTACCATTCTCTCCTGGCTCACAAATCTTGTGGAAGAGACCGCGTTGAAGAAAACTGACCAACACATAGTTTGAGGGCTCATGATAGTGAAGGTGTGTCGCCAGTCCTGCCATCTGTAGAGGAGCGCCGTTTTCTTGTTTTACAAGACCCTGCAAAGAAAGGATTTGCAGGATTTAAGCGAGCTTAAAAGTTTATAGTAAGACTGTTGAACTGCAACAGCAAGTATGTGATCACTTAACTTGAAGCCAACAGAAAAATTGGTAACCAAGGAAAATAAGGATAGCTGTTACTAACAAAACATTTCTACCTTGCCCCTCATTTCAGCGGTCGAAAGGATCTGATGTTAATACTCACCAATCTGGTAAGAAGCTCGACGCAGAATAAGAAATGTTTCTTGATCTGGCTCTCCATTTCGGGGTGAGTAATGGAGATAAAAGGGTGCGACAGCAGTGAGAGAGCCTGAAAATGAGAGTACGTGCATAACGTGCTGCGTTCATGAATCGATTAATTGGGATTTCGCACATTACTGTGTAAATAAGTGAAAGAACTGACCATTGTTTTGCGTAAATTTCGTAAAATCTCAACGGTAGGTTTTAAATTATGTCTATAACGAAATAAGTTGTAGAAGTTCATTTCCTCGTCTTTTTAGTAGCTGAGGACGAAGAAGAAAAGTACTTTTATGAAAGACTTCAAACAAGCTGTAGCTGTTATCTTGCGACACAATTCATATAATCTTCAGAGGGAAGAAAGCTGATTATCGATGAAAACTGGCCACAATTGTGCAAAGTATTTAGCGCAAAGAAATTGGCGAATTATTGGAGAAGAATTATGGAGGCGTCTTTCCTACAAACCTTTGTGAGAGCATCCTTTTGATCATCTCCCTTTGATGTTATCAGAAGCAAGCGCAACACCAGTGATACGTTAATGGGGAAGTTCCCAACAATCTTTGGAACATTGGCTGTGATAAGACGCTGAACTTTACGGTAAGGAACTCCAAAAAACACTACATTTCCTACAGGGTCAAAACCTCGGCGACCTGCCCTGCCAGACATCTGATATTAGAGAGATGAGAGAGTGAGATTAAGTCCAAATTTAAATTCGTTGTAAATAAAAACTATCTTTTTCTGCCTGAAGAAAAACTTGTGGACATAAAAGAAAAAAATCTGACTGAACAGTGATGTAGTCATTATCATTGAAGTCCAATAGGAGTACTGAAGGAGTAAAGACCCTTTGACAGGGTTAGATCTACTTTCAGGGAAAGACAGATACTAGAAAAGACTCCGTCCATACTAATATCATTCTTATATATGTTATTTATTACAGACAAAGAGAGCTACATGCAAAATGGTGTTATTTGTGTCGGTCGCTATCTTTTGGGGTACTATTTTCGTTGGAAACACGTTACTGCCCTTGCCTGTTTCATTCGTTTGCATTCCTTGAAATTACAGACACCTGCTGTTTCAGTGGGTTCGCTTGTCTATGGAAACGATTTTTTTGTCTGTAGGAATACAAACTTTGTTTTAAAAGTGCTCTCACCTGTCTGTACTGCAAAGAATTTAAGAAGGGTGAATCTCCAGCAAACACGACCGTTTTACAAGGCATATGAATACCAAGGGCCAAGGTTCCTGTTGCTGTAACGACCTAAAGGGAACGAAAAAAAAAGAGACTCCCGAGTCTTTATATACTGTTCCGTTACTATATTTTTTTATCGAAATGTTTTCAATAGGTGAGGTACATAGATTAGCTGTACGCAATAGCAAGGTAAAATAAAGGGGAAGACAGAAACTGAACAAAATGTCAAATAAGGTTTGTGTAACAAAGGTCACCGGCTGCAGTTGATAACAGCAAACCAAACTAGTGCGATACTAATGAGGCCGCTGTGCCATTTTTATTTTATCCTTTCGTGATATTTCACATGTATTTTGTTTCTTTTTTATCCTGCTGTTTCAACTTCATTCTGGCTTGGGCAAGAGCCGCACATCTTTATAAGTCATATTTTAAATCATATTGTTCTGCCAGTAATTTTAAGCAATCGTTTTAAGAAAAAGCTATGCCTCAGTGCTATTTACAGTTAGGTTATAGGTTAGAAAAAAAAATTATATTATATTCCTCCACGTCATTATTTAAACGTCCACCTACTTTTCCAGAAACGAGCAGTCAGTAAAATAATACCTGAAGATACTTCTTTCTAAATAACATCTCCACCGTGCCACGTAATGTGTTTTTCAGTCCAGCATGATGGTAACTGATTCCTCGTCTTAAAGCTTTCTTAAATCGTGAGGTCTCAGGCGTAGACCTAATGCGATCCATGATCTTCTTTAAATCCTACAAAGTAAATGGCCAACCTCTGTTAAGGCAAACTTTATGTCAGTTACATCTGTACCCGGGTTTTTTTTTTGTCACATTCTGTTTGTAGTCTGATCATCCTTTTTGATGTAGTCTATCTTTTTCCCTTGGTCTGGTTATTATAGTGATGCGCGCGCTTTGACTGGTCGATGATCGCGTCATATCTCGCTATAATCATCTCGCGCGAGGTGATTATAGAGGGGTCCTTAATATTCAAAATGGCTACCTCGCGTTTTGTCAATGTTACGTAGGAAGTGGTAGACGTAATAGAAGAAACTTCGGATCAATACCAGTATCTGGGCAACTGCCCTCCTACCCCTCCCCTAACCCAACATTAACCTTAACTTGTTATCAATTGACTGTTGCTGAGTTAGGGGAGGGGTAGGTGGGCAGTTGCCCAGGTACTGATATTGATCCGAAACTTCAATTTCAAAGAGCACTAGAGATGCCACTAGCTTTGACGTAACACTTTTCAAGGCTAAGACATAAATTATTGGCTAATTAAATTAATTAAAAACCATTAAACTTTAGTGGGAGCTGCTTACTTATGCCGAAACGAGTAATCAGAACAATTGATACCAAGTATGCACAATGTTTTCTTTATTCATCAAATGCTTTCAACAACAAAACAAATTTATAACAGAATTTGAAAGCACCCGAGCACTTATACTACAACAATTATTCACCTCAGGTTCAGGGAATATTGCGGAATAATCCCCTCGACCTCGTCTCAAGTATTTTTCACAATCATTCACCGCGCCTTCGGTGAATAATTGTTAAAATATTATTAAATAGTTATCGGATGCTCACTACCTTGACTCCAATTTCGTGTACAGAGGCTAATGTGCAGCCTGGTAAAGGATCATTTAAGAATGAAAAGTCTTTCTCATACTGTTGTCTTACTTGGTCGTCCAATCTGCTAAGAGAACAAGCCCTGAAGTCTTACATAATTTGTCATCATAACATGACGTATTCGGTCGCATACATGTTCAATGGAATCTAAATGGCACTCGACGAGATATATCATGCAGTTACTATTTAAATTACTTCCGTTTACCTTTCTTCTTTTGCTCTCTCTGCCTCTCCATCTCTCAGCCTTTTAGATTCCTTGTTCACCTTTTGTAACCTCTTTAGGGCAAACTTCAAGTCTTTCCCGCCATTCTGGCCTTTAATAGCCTCCTCTTTATTTCGAAAGTGCTGAGCGAGTCCAAATGCCAACACTTCGCATAAGTTGCGGTCAAAGCTAATAAAAATAGAGTGATATCATTAATAAAGCCCACTGAGTGAGAAAGCTTTTTCGATATTTACTCAGTTATTTTTTGTTAATATGCCTCCCACATATCGTGAATTTTCATCTTTTCAATATGATTTATTTCGAACGTTTGCATTTGCATTTACGGAAAATGAGTCCAAGTTATGTGCATCGTCCCAATTGGCATTCTGATCGTCATTTGCCTTTTTCCTTTTTTCTTTATTTCTAATCATTTTTTTTCAGTGTGGCTTATACATGAAAACCGTATTGAGGTTGAATCTTAATCCCTTGCTACGCATGTCACTGAACGTCAATCCCTTTCCCTGGATGAAACAGTATCTATATTACCTGAAAACCAGAGCGGGCAGTTTTTCTTGAGCCTTTAGCTGTTCCACAAGCTTTGGGAAATTTTTTTCAATGAAAATTTTTCCCGACGAAGGCATACCTAGCTGGGTCCATTCCTTTTCAGTCGAGGCCTGTTTCTCCACCAAAACAGAATTCAGTGACTGTATAACGGCTTGAACCTGGAGCAACAAAAAGTAGCTTAATGATGATTAGTGCAGATTAATGCAGAATTGTACTTTAGTTAGTAAATCAGTTAGTTTGCGAGCCCGAGAATAGAACGAAGAGATACAAATGGTATGAAGACCTGTAAAAAATACCAGCTTATCCCTTTACAATGGTATTTCACCTAAACATCGTACCTTTTATGGACTAAGGCCCCCATAGGACTCCCGTATAATATATGACTGATACAACGAAGAAAAAATGCAAAGGATGTAACAGATATGCGTCTCGCTGACTTCAGGTTAAACAATCGTGTTGTTATTAGTAACACGAATCCTTTAAATTATGGTTTAAATAATAGCGTGGAGTAGTAAATAGAAAGCATGGATTCCAAAGGCTAGGGTTCATAGGGCTTTAATCTACGTCAAAACATTTTTTATTTATCAATACAACGGCAAACAACGCTCACACATCACAAACGATTTGCAACGAATCCTTTGGCAATATACCCTTCACCTTCTCAAGATGTTTTTCATCGGCCCAAGACTTGAATTCCCTCTTCAGGTCCTTCTCGTACTGTCGTGCGAAGCTCTTGTCAATGAACTTATTTTTCTCAAAGTACTTCTCGGGGGAAAGTTTCTATAAAGAAAACACAAAATAACAAGCTTTGGTCACCAAGTCGCGATATTCTCTGGACAGTCAGTATGAAAACACCGTTGTTTGAGACTTTGTGGAATCTAGTCTTGCAAGAATAAAAATAGCTTAGAGCGATAAGACCTAATCTTTCTTATGACCAATATCTACAGCGGACAGGCATGTAACTGTAACGTGAAAGTTTGAAGTCTTATTTAAAAGCTACGTACTGACCTGCAAGGATTCTTTGTCTGGCCAGTGCATAGTCATAACGTCAAAAAGTTGTAGAGATTCTTGAGGGGTGAAATCCATATCTCTTGGGAAGGAATTCTCTTGTAGCTAATTGGAAACAACAATTTGTCATTGGAAGCTTCTTTAACGATGGTCGAAACCATGGGACGGTTTCAACTGACCGTCGAAAAACCTAAATCAAGGTAATCACTTTGGCCAGTTTGGCCAAAATTAATGTCATCTCTAGTCAGTGAAAATTCAAAGAAAAAACCAAGACTAAAGCGCGGGAAAACGAGGACGATCAAGTCACGATTGGTTTTCGTACTTCATATGATTGGTTTAGAAGTTGGTTTGCGTTCTGTTATCTAGACCAATCACAGACCAAAATAAAGCAAAAAAAGCAATCCCCGATTATTTGCGACACTCAGCTGAATTTTTTTTTTTTAATCGATCAATGTAAATAAATTTACCGCATAATTTATACATATATTTTTAGGTAGGTATATATATATAGAATAATAGACGGGCTAATGGTCCTTACCGACAGAAGAAATCTTCCAGGTACACGGCCAAAATCGGCCTGTGGCAAATCTTCCAGTTGTCAATTTTCGTTCTCAGCCGCGAGAAATATCATTACCTAAGCCACTGAATACGTAACTTTCGGTTTTTTGGTTTTGTTTTCCTCCCCTTCTAGGAAAGTTTAAACGTTGCTGTCTGTAGGCGTTACGGATTTGTCAGTGTTTTAGCAGCCATAATCCGAAAAAATCCCGATAAAAGACCTTGGATTGAGAACGGTGAAGGATTCACCCTTCATTCATCAACCTGACCGCGAGGCGCAAAAGGCGATATCAAACACACGTGAAAAATACGATATCTTTTCACGTGTGTCGTAACAGCTTTCCTCAGGGTTGAAAATCCTTGTAAAACACTGTATAATTCATATGATAAAAACCATTATCAGAAAAATACACGTGAGAACTCATGGACCAAAAATCCTTACGTTTTGTAAGTAAAACTTACGGATATTCTCTAAAAGCTGAACAATGGCTGTTCTATAATTGACTGTTCACCTGTTTTGCTCCGAGCTGAGCACAAGGATGAAGTCTCACAAACTCTCCTGTCGCTTTGACATCGCAAACACCCTTGTATTCCTTGGACTCTTCAGAGAATTTCCCATTACTGGGACTCGGAAGGTATACACTCTTTTCCAGATCTGAGTATCTTTCATGAAAGTTAACTACAAAAATATACCAGAAATATGTTATTAGACAAACTGTGTCGCATGGGGATGACCTTCGTTGACCCTCTCACACTTAGGGATAACCCAAAAAAAACATTTCTCCCTACAATATCAGTATGGTTCAAGAACTGCGGTCGTTTTGCTAACGACCAGTTTGCTAACGTCCTAGGTCGTTTTGCCAGCGTCTCAGGTCAGTTCGCTACGTCTCATAGGTCGTTTCGCAAACCTAGTTATCCAGATAAGGTTTAAATTGACTTTTGATTTACGTTGAGTCAACCCCAATGCGCAAACTCAAGCATTACATATTCGAAGACCATCGAAAGACCCCTCTATGACTGAGGTAGCGGATTTATTTCTTCGCTTCACCTAGTCTGATTCTGTAGGACTTTCTCATCTGGCCATTTTCATGTTTGTCTTGCTGCTCTCGAAAGTTTTGAGCGGCTTGCAACCACCTACAAAACAAAAGACGTATGATTCTCCTTGTGATTTTATTTAAAAATGCATGACTAACTTGTATACGTTAACATCGTTTTAACATCGGTGTAATGGGAAAATTTCGTAGCATTCAATACAACACATTTTATTTTGTGCCATTCGCAACAATTCTTACTTTGTAAGGTCATCTGGATTTCCAATGGTTGCCGAAAGCGCCAGAAAGGGACAGCGAATGAGAAGAAGAAGATGCTCCCAGACTTCAGCTCCAATCTCTTGACCAAGACAGTGAACCTGCAGTTTTAAAGTGAGAGAGAAATTTTGGCTAAGGTATAGCCTAAGTGAGTGAGGTGAAGCAGTAAACTTGTTTTATTGGCTTTAAACGATACCACAAAGTTTATTCAGCCTGAATAGTAAGATTTGTTCCCTCGAATCCCAGGAAAAACGTTTTACGACTTCAGAGCAACTCTCACTATTGTTCCCTTGTATCTATCTTTAGGTAGAATTGACCTTCCAACCATCCGTGTTCCAACATCCAATGCTACTGCCATAATTGAACCGAGTCAAGCAATGACTACTGTTTATGAAAACACCGATGAAGATCAAACGTCTACGAAGTGATGATGAAGGAACGTTAATGTGAACTCTGGGAACTTAGTTACATAACTTAAGTATAAGTGATATAACTACATTATTGAAGGAGGCAAAACTGCACAACGTAAATATCGTAGTAACCTTTTGGCGTTGATTCTGCCTTTTCCAAGCTGCAACTTCATTACAAAGAATTAAAAGTAATTTTGCGAAAATTACTGTCAGAAAAGTTCTCAGTTCTTTTACCTCATCGAAGATTACGTATCTAACTTTTTTTGTCCAATCCTGTCTACGGGGCGAGAGAAAAAGTATCTCCAAACATTGAGGAACTGTAACAAGGATCTGCCGGGAATCAAAAGACAGAGCTGAAAAAAGTTATTAATATATATTTCCGATTTATACTCAAATCCACGAGCCAAATAGAGAGAAATTTCAAAAGGAGAAAAATACGATATAGACTGACGAGTTTTCAATCAGAGAATGATTCCATGAAGGAATTTATGTCAACTGTATTCCGTTAAGATCACTTATTGTAAATATTGTTTTCCGTCGACCGTGTGCATTTTGTTTGCTTAGAAATGATGAGATTCCTTCTTGTCTTGAGTGCTGCTTGTCACGTTTGCTTACCTGAGAGTTCAACGTGTTTAATCGATAATCCCTCGTGAAAACACCATACACTGCCCTTCCCCCTGGAAGCTCTTTACGATGAAAGCGAGCGTACACTGTTGCTGCAACTTGATTTACTAAGGCCTAAATGATCAATGCATCAGTTATTAATACCTCAACAATCCAAAAGCCAGAATAGCTTTATGATAAGTATTGGACATTTGTGACCATACCACCACTCATACAGACCTCACGCCCTTTAACAAGTTTTAGACGAGATGCCATGGTGAGGTATAAAATCAGTTGGCAGTTGGCAGTTGCACATGGTAACCATTTATGTCGAGGCCACCTGCCTCTAGGCAGCTGCATTTCACGAGACGAGGTCGTTCAGCTATTAAGGATAAATTCAAGAGAACTTGATAAACTAAATAGCTGCAACTAGTAAATTTACCTTTGTTGGGGAAACATATACCACCACACCATCGTTGTCTTGAGTCAGAACTTTCTCCATGCAGTAGTATGAGGCAAAAGTCTTTCCCGACGAGGTGGGTGCCACTATTACCGCTGACTCGTTCTTATCCACAGCGTCAAGAAGTTCACGCTAGAAAATATTTGAATAACCACAAGATTAAAAAAATGAAAAGAAAACTTCGACGAGACGGAAGCAAAATTCACACAGGGCAGATTTTGTTTTTTCTTCGTCTAGAATAGGCCTCCATTGAAATTCAAGTATTGAAAGCATTTTTAAAAATGCTTTAATACTTGAATTTCAATGGTTGAGTTCAGTGGAGAAAAATAGTTCAAACTGTTTTCAAAGTTTCTTCACTGAACTTAACCACCTCCTCTTCTCCTCGACGGTTTTTACGAGAGATTTTAATTCGTATTAATATGCAGTAAAAAATTGTTATAATACCTGCCATGTATCTGGAATGAAGTGGTCAACCCTCTGGTCACGATCAGTTCTTGTTTCCCGCTTGAGTAAATGACCCATGCAGTCAAGTTGGAATCTTGCGCTTGTAGTGTGGACCGATAGCTGTTGAGCCTTAGGTGATAAATGGGCATAAATGGTCAGAAGACCAAGGACGAATTCACTGAAATCACGAGTTAAACAGTGCACTTATATGAAATAATTGAGGTGATAAGTGCACTCCCATAAGTCGATAGGCATGTCAAGTTTAGAGTATATAAACACGGTTCGACGTTTTAGATTCGCGTGCATTTTGCAGAACTATTATATTACAGCAAGAAGGCTCTTTCTCCGTGTTCAGATAGCCTCATCTAAACACTCAGAACGTAGGGAGAATGTTCAAAACTTAAGCAAGCCCTTAACTGCATTTCAGCTTAACGTAAGTACAGCTAATTCAAATTCAGCGGTTCCCTTATTCTTCAGATAAAGCTATATAAACACGGAAAAGTGAGATTTCTCGGACTATATAGCCCTGAGTGAACTCTCTAAGGAGTCGCTTGAAACAATAGCGGTAGTTTGTTTCATAACCAGTAGATGTTATTCGCTGAAAACTATACCTCCGTCTCTGCGGAAATTTGTCATTCACAGCTATGTTAGTATCATTTAATTTCAAGAATTGTGTCTGAAGTTGGGGTGTAATGTTGAGGCAGTATCATAAATTCCAAGATTACTTGAAAAAGGAATTGTGCAACAAAAGAGGACATCATACTACAATATTTTTGTGTATACGAGTACGTTGTAGCACTGAGCACATATTTTATCTCCTGGTTATTAGATACAGGAAAGGAACAGCATAAAGCCAAGCTCGTTTGATCTGACGATACACACTTTTCTTTCACTTTCTTCAGGTAGATCGTAAAGCGTTGCTGCGATGTCATCGAATCCCAGCTTCCGCATAAATCCAGCCAGTTTCTTTTTGTCTTTGTCGGTGAGAAGGCTGTGGAAGTCTTCAGCCATTTTCTGAACACTCTTTAGCAGCAGCACAGGATATTTCATGTCATTAGATCCGGCGTTAGCAGCCCCTACAAAATGCAAATGACTGCAGTTTGGTTTAGGTAATTTTGTTACAATCCCGCACTTGAAAAATGAAAGTAATCGCTAGATACACATCGAGAAAACGAGAGAGCCATGAGAGAGAGAATTATAAAACATGAGTAAGAAATACATCCTGCTTGTACTCAGAATTCGACGGTTTCAGAACACGCCAATGAAACAGGACACGTTCCTGTTTGGGACTATATTAACTTTATTGATCATGACTCTTAGTGGTACACACGTAGGGTCAAAGAACCCATCCACTAAAGACTTCATCCAAATAACATCAAAAGAGATAACGGAATCGAAATTCCTGAAGCATGGATGCTAATAGTACTTTATCTAAGCGACAAAGTTGAGGGAGAAAAATCGATAGATAATGAAAACGATTCACTTTTCCCTTTTTCACCTACTTGTCTGCTGCCAGGCTACAAGGCAACTTTGTGCCTTTTTCATCAGCGCTTCGAGATGAAGTTTGGGAGTTTTGCAATCTGCGAGATACTTATCGACTAATTGCAAAACAGTGCTGAAGTCATCCTTCTTCAAGTTTTTGTCAATGTTTATAAGAATGTCGCTCCATTTTTCTTTATCTTTTAGTCTTTCTTCATCTGCGGAAAATTTAAGTAAAAAACGACATATTTTCGATAGTGTCCTCAACAGTAATTTTGAAGCAGGTGAACAACTCCCTCTGTAGAACCTTTAACCAAACTTTTGCCGTCCGTACACTGCTTATTGTTATTACAATTTATGCGAAACATCAGTGGTTCGCCTCATCGAAACCTGAATAACTAAGTTAAACCTTTCACATTTGACAAATACCATAAGGTATTTCCTTGAATAAGTAACAATGCTCTAATAAGCGCTTTCCGCCAATGAAGCATTCACCCCAAGGGGCCATCGCTTCAAACAGGCGCCCCCCCCCCCCCTCGAATAAACCCCCTCCTTCCTCACTTACTTAAATAGTAGGGAAACTAGACTATTGCCACTTCATTATATAACTTTAACTCAACTTCAACTACAGCGGAATCAGTGAAGGGCCATACTTTCTTTTCCATTCCACTTATTTCTATCTCCATGTGCTTGCAAAGTCTTTAATGTGCGTTATGTTTTCTTTTAATTTTTTGTCCTACTGCTGCGCCCCCCTCTATTAAGTGCTCTCCCGCCAATAGGCGCCCCTTCTTTAGGCCAAAATTTTTAATAAGTGCCTAGGCGCTTATTCGAGGAAATATGTTATTCGAGAAATCAATTGTAACTGATTCCTTAGCCGAGTTCTAAAGAAGCGCGACTACTGATGAGATATGATTGAAGAATTCAATAAATTGTTCAATCCCATGGTCAGCCACGTCAACCTTCATATTAGTTCTCTAAGACTGCGTTAAGGATACCATGTTATACTACATGCCGTGAAATTGTCATGATGTTGCTCAATTACGGTACTCAGTTTAGAAGTGCTCAAAATATTTTCATGATTTAACTCCATAAATTGACACTTTATTTTAGGAGAGGCACGTGACATTGATATTAATCATGTAAGAAACAAACCTTTGCGTTTTTTTTTGTTCTGCTCGATGATTCGTTTGGCGCTTCCTCCCTGCAAAAAATAATTTTCCCGAGTTGAATCTAGCTGAACACAATAAAACACTATTACGGCAAAAAATTTAGACAAAAGTTTGATAATAACAAAATTCCCACCGTCTTTCCATCCTTTTTCTTTCCTTTCTTCTTATTTGGGACCTCTTTCTTGACGATTATACTTTTCGCTTTGTCGAAACCACCAACAAGGGAGTTTCCGTACAATTTTTGATAGCGAAAGTACTTATCCCTTTGTTTCGAATACCACTTTCTTTCTTTGGGATCAGTCGGGGGCTTATCTGAAGAACGAAAGTGTGAAATATTGAGTTCATAGTTTGCGACAAATGGCTTACGTTACTTTAGAAAGGTTTTCTCCACCGACCAAATTCCTTAAGTTGGATGAAACAGAGATGCATTTCTTGATTTATGGGCGTGAGTGATGCTTTGAAAGTTTTCGTAATTTCACGAACTGTAAGCGAGTGCGATTGAAAACCTATCAAAGCAACATGATTGACCAACAGTAACAAAAAGCCAGAAAAGCTCTTGCAATTTTTGGTTCATTCACGTCTTCGGGGGCACTGTTCAGCATGTGCTCGTTAGTTTTTTAATTGATCCTTTTACACAATTATTGCTACTTCCAAACCAAGTTTAATTTATTTCGAAATATTTTAGAAGTGTAAATTTTCATTCATCTTTGAAAGCTGAAATTTCAGAAGAGTGCATGGCGGAAATCCCGTAGCGCACCCTACAATCTCTTTATCCATTTTTCATCGACCAATCAGGAACGACCAATTTTGTTGAGTATAAAATAACTTTTTACAGCGCAGGTTCCCACGTTTGGCCTCAAGGGCCTCACCTGCAAAAGTCTGCTTTGTCCTGGCGAAATCATCAGTTAGTGGCCTGAGAGAATGCCAGTGGTACTGCTCATCAAATTCTTTGCCAATCATCAACACTTCGTCTTCGGTCTCTCCTCTAAAAGGGTAAAATTGAACAGCCCTCTCTGAAGAGAGTATTTTCTCACGCAATTCCGTAAAACATGCAGGGTACTTTGAACGACGTAAACATTGTTGCAAGGTCTTACCCAGCCATGGCGTTAATTCTTGATCGAATATCACCAACGTACTCACTCACAAGAGTACTTCCAACGTCAAGTAGCCTTTTGAGCTTCGCGCCGGAGTAATGATCTGGACTTGTTCCTGAAACAAACACTGATAATTTCACTCGATGGTCGTTAATCTCATTGAGTAGATTTTGACAGAGCCAGACGGTACCTTTAAAAATACAATTTTCTAACAAAATGAACTTATTAGATTAATCAAAACTTGCAGCTTGCAAGTTTTGCATTTTGTTTCCCTTTCCATTTTGAATTGCAAACTAATTTGTTCCCGAAAGAGAAAAGTTTAAAACTTTATTTTAGACAAAAAAGGGACAAGAAACGTGTAGGAACCATTCACATCCAAGTGATTTTATTTAATGTGTAGAAAGCTACCGTGGAAAAACTAAGTCGAATGTTACTTACCTTCCTCCTGATAAAGGCTTGTAGAACTTCCGTCAAACAAAGGAAAAAATTGATTTTGTAGAGAATCTGAATGACATGATCCGTTCACAAGAGCGACAACTTTCTCCCATGCACACTCAACATCTCGTTTAACATCCTGGGGTAGACTAAGGTCTGATGCATATGACAAAACACGTGGTGTAAGTATATAAGGTTATAGTTGCCTCGAAGTCTTTGAAAGAACGGTTAATAACAAGGGCGAAAGATAGCTGTTTTCGTATTCATAGAAGATTATATTTAGCTGATCATATTCCCAAAAATAGCGTAGCGTAGCTATTGGTGGGAATATGGTGACGAATGACGCATATAAGCACACGCACAACCCACAATTCCTTCAACCGCTCTGACGAAAGGCCAACGCTCGAAGTATCAGTTTTGAACCTCTTTTCGGTGGCCAATTTACGTTGAACAACTCAGTTGATAATAATAAATTAGAAATTTTATACAGTTTGCTACATAGGTGAAAGGTGACGCCAATAAAATAAAAAAAATGAATGGGAGCTCCATCATTTCTACCAGCCTGTTTCTTAGAATTTGTAAGTAACTTTTAGACTCAATCTGACAACAGACCTTTTGATCCCTGGGACATCTGTTTCAAGATATGCCAGAAGAGAGTATGGAATAGGCGTCCGTCCATTAAATCTGCCACTGAAGTCATGTCTAATACATTTGCGGCACTGTCTTCTTTATAAGCATCTCTCAAAGCTGATTGTATCATTTTCAAAATCTGCCATAAACTTGTATGGATCTGTTACACGATATAAACAAGCTACCTTTAACTAATACAACTCAAATACGACTACATAAATGTAGACTCTTAGAACCGACCCAAGATGGAAACGACAGGAAGCGCCAATTTCAGGACAGTTATTTTCTTTGGCGCCTAAACTTTCGTGAGGACTTCGTAAAGACTAACACACCCTTTCTACTCTTTCTGTATGGAAGGGTGTAAGGGTAATGGGAATGTTAGTGAATTCCATAATCAGATGTCAGTCACTGTTAATTTCTTTTTTTAAAGTACATGGTGGTCAAGCCACTGTAAAACGTAATACCTATTTCCAAAATACAGGAAGGATCATCACGTGATTTTCACGTACAGGCCCAGTTACATACATACATACATACATACATATTTATTCAAATTCTATATACAAATAAATTTATATATAAAAATTTGAAAAGGGGAGTTTGGAGGTTAGCCCTATATAACAACTCCCCTGAATAAAAAATAAAAAGTAACAAATGTAGAGCTATGTACAGAGAGAAAAAAAAAAAAAAAAAAAAAATGAAGAAGAAGAAAGGAACTATCTAATGTTTACAATTTTAAAAATATTTTTAATCTTAATTTAAAAAGTTCCAGAGTCCCTGCCTCTACAACATGCTTTGGTAAATTGTTCCAATCGCTAACTACCCTAATAAAAAAAGAATTTTTAAAACAATTTATTCTCGAAGATTTGAAGTAAAGTTTATAAGAATGATTAGCCCTTGTGGAGCGCACTTTTGTAAATTCGAAAAATTCTTGAAAGTCTAAATGGGAGAGGCCAAAAACAATCTTGTAACATTCCACAAGTGAAAAGTAGGTTCTCCGTGTGGATAAAAGAGGCCAATTTAAAATGTTACATCGTTCCTCGTACGGCATTTCACCTCGTTTCTGTCTGAGAGCTAATCTCGATGCACGGCGTTGCACGTTCTCGATTGCATGTATATCTTTCACAAGGTAGGGATTCCACACTGGTACAGCATACTCTGAAAGATCTCATTTACTTACTTCGTGAAAGGGATAAACTTTGCCATCTTTCGCTTTGCAGAATTCGTCCAACAAAGAACTGTTTACGTTTTGGGCTCTGTACATTAACGGAAGTTTCTTTAGAAGTGCAGATTGAAGAAGGAAAAGTTTGACCTTATCCTCAGCAATCTTCATCGTATCCTGCACGGAGCCAAAATTACACAGAGATTGTCGATGTATTCGTGCACAAACCGCCATAATGCTTTAGAAGTTAAAAACACATGTCAAGTGTGTGTTACTTACCTTACTGATGTTGTCGTTGTGAAGTAGTTGAAAGAGGACTTGCACACAAGTAAGGATTGTGGCAACCTCCCGACATCCACCCTGCGGTGGAGATCGAAGAGCAACTTCAACTTCTGACTGGAAATCAATCTGAGGTAAGACAAACAACAAAAGGAAAGTAAGATAAATTAGATTTGGACATGTAAGGCGGCAAATGAATATCTCTTTAACCCTTTGATCCCTAAGAGTGACTTGCATCTAATTTCTCCTCACAATATCACCACTGAATCATACATTAAGGTCAGGAGAATAAAGGAAATCATCACTTATCTAAGAAGCTACTGATTGTTAAACAAATTCCTCTTGTCAGCACCTTAGGAAATGTGTAGAGAACAGTACGGAGAATATACATACTGATGTTAGGGTGTAAAGGGTTAAAACACTGCACACCTGATTGTCTGTTACTTCACATCCGGTGATGTTTTCCTGAGTACATTGACGGCGCCAATACCTCATCAACCAATCCCATGTATTATGGACTGCTTCACCATGCTAAGAATAAGAAATGATGCAGATATGAGCTACTTCAGTGAAGACAACATTTTTTTATGATAGGCAACTTTTCGCTTTCAAATCATGTAGTCCTGAAAAACACAAACTTTTATTTCCATTATCTAGGGACTTTTTAAAATAGTCATTCTTTTATTCCCTATAATCATCACCCCAGCAGATCTAGAGTGACACTGACGGTATGTGTTCCCCATGTTCTTTCATGAGTCAATCATTTTTTATAAAGCTTTACAAGCTCTTGAGTTGTTGAAAGGGCAACTTGGAACGGGGTATGTATCACTCTGAAATATAGCTTAGTACCCCGACGTAAAAAATTCAGCTATTAGATTAAACAGTGTCTAGAAATGCTAATTTTGGTGCAGCTTCTGCATTGGTCAGACATCCCATTCTTAGTAAGTAGGAAAAGTTTCCGGGTGTTGCTTCACGCCACGAACACTGGCGCTAATATTGGTGTAATAATTTTACATCCCTTCACAAAGTATTGCCGTCTAACCTTCCTATGGAATAATCTATGTTCTGACGTGGACTCGTTGTAATATCCCATCACTTTTGTCGCGGTCATCTGGACACCTGAGATAAAGACACAATTTAATCCTTGTCCAAGACAATGTAACAGAATACAGCGGAAGAAAAACTCCACTGTCACATGTAGCTTTTTCGTCTCTCCAGTCTTTTTCCATGGAACATTTTCCGCGTCCGTTAACATCAGAAATGCGGGAATGTTTCGATCGATGTACTCTTTCCAATGCTTGTCCCAAACACTCGCTATTGATGTCTCAATTGTGAAAGGCGTGTTGTGCTGAAGATGAAGAATTAAAGCTTGTCGTGCCAACAGCATGGATGGTCGACTTCTCCAGATGATCTCCATTTCTTCGAAAAAGACAACGTGGAAAACACCACCTTGTTCAACAAGAAAAGAAGTAGTTAGATGATTGAAGGGAAATCCAGCAGAAAAATACTGAGAAGTAATACCATTTTACAGGTAAACAGTGGTAGTATCATATACAAGTTAATGATCAACTAATCTGCGAAACCAATACCGCCCGAGTTTAGCCGGCATTTTGTGGTCCTGCTTAATAAGTGAGACAGATGACAAAGAGATGTCGTCTCATCTTAGCAACCTCCATTCCTCGAGCCTCCGGCTTTGGGCCACCTCCGTCGATCTAATTGCTATCGTTTCAGTTCACACCTTCACGGTCACTGGAAACACTCTCATCATCCTACAGTTACCTGTTAACCCATTAACTTCCAAGATCTCATAAGTAATTCTCTTTACTCTCTGCTATACAGATCTTGTAGTGTTAGTTTGAGAATTTGGTATTGAATCAAGTACTTATCCCCAAATGGATATTTTTCTTTATTCTCATCACTTATCTGATTGATATTGTATTGATATTGTTAGGAGAAATTCTGTCTTGGTCACACATGGGAGTTAAAGGGTCAAGGCACAGTTAACATCTCTCCAGCTATAACCTGGCTATCATTTCTAATTTCTTTAGTCGAGCTCATCTCGTTCTTGCAATCAATACTATTATTTCATAATGTTTTGGAACACTGACTTACATCATAATTTTCTGAACTTGTTTTATGCACTGACCTTTATCTGTAAAATGCTTGAGGAAGCGTTCAAGTAGATAGGTGAGATGTAGAAACTGTCCGCCATGTGTCCAGTCTAGGCTATTTTGGCAAAAAAGCTCCAACAGCAAAGAGTCGCCGTCAATCAGGAAAATCTCCGCATCAGCAAAGTCTGTCAGAATGTTGAGATATCTATAAATTCATTAAAAATATGTTTACCAATTTGGAATCATTAAAGGCCCAGTATTGAATGTCACCCACATTGCTTATTTCAGTATGCGCGACTCGTGCTATAGATAAATCCAATACATTGTTTATGTATATGGCCTGACTCGTCGAGGAATTCCCCGGGTCAAAACAGAATCAAACTGTAAAGCATCATGAACAATATATTAAAGTTTACACGGTAACCAGGTGGACAAACAGACATGGTTTGATGCTACTCTGAATTAAAGATTTAAGTAATGTAACCGAAAAGTTACAATTCACAGACCCAACGTTTCGACACTCCTGTCTAGTGCCTTCATCAGGAGCTATCTAAACGCTGCAACAAGAGATCTTTTTATGCGCTCACTAATTAGCTGCCTTTTTTTCTGACGAGGTGTAAATAGGCGTCAGGAAGTAAGCCGCCATCATCACGATTTAAAGGAGCGTGGGCGGAGTTGATATGCCAGGCTTCCAAACAAAGGCGCTGGTGGTAACGCCGATTAGTGGTGATAATTTTAGACTTATCCCACCCAATTGTATGGTTGGTTAGGCATGTGTGCTCCAATAAAGCTGAATTTTCTTTTTTGCAAAGAAGACCGCTTTTTGATGCTCTTTCAAACGTGTACCAAACTGACGTTTGGTCTGTCTAATAAACTCGTCATCAGAGTCACTGCACCGAATAGAATAAATAGCGTCAGTTCGTTGTTGTCTTGTAAGGGGATCCTTAGGTTTGGCAAAAATATGCCCCAAAGTCTGAAAAGGTTTTTGAGCAACTTTAACATTATGGCTATTAAAAATTCTCTTGATGGGTTCCATAACACCCTGAATGTAGGGAATAACAGCAAAACCAGTCGCTGGTTCCCACTCATCAGGAGTGCTAATAGTTGTAACTAGTTTTCGGCAGTTACGGAGAAAAGTTTTGGTATAGCCATTCGCCTTTAGGACATTAGAAACATATTTCCTCTCCTCAGCCTTCGAATCGAGTGAAGATGGTAGACAGTCAGCCCTCCTGAGTAAAGTTTTGGCTACAGACTTTTTATGGCAAATAGGGTGGTGAGAATCGAAAGCGAGGTATTTGTCGGTGTGGGTAGGTTTACGATAGACACTTGTCTCTAAATTTCCCTGTTCCCCTCTGTATACACTTAAATCAAGAAAGGATGAATGTCTATCCTTTTCACGCTCAAGGGTGAATTGGATAGACGGCTCTACTGAATTCAAGTGCGATAGGAGGCGCCTCTGTTTGGAAGCCTGGCATATCAACTTCGCCCACGCTCCTTTAAATCGTGTGATGGTGGCTTACTTCCTGACGCCTATTTACACCTTGTCAGAAAAAAGGCAGCTCATTAGTGAGCGTATAAAAGGACCTCTTATTGCAGCGTTTAGATCACCCCTGATGAAGGCACTAGACAGGAGTGTCGAAATGGTGGGCTTTATGAATTGTAACTTCTCGGTTACATTCATTAAATCTTTAAACCAGGGTAGCATCAAACCATGTCTCATCATGAACAATTTAGAGTTCCAATGTGGCAGTTCATTGCACGGATAATCTTAAATTTGTTTTAATTTGTCTCAAGTAACAAATTCGTCTTCAAAACTTTTTTCTATAAGTGGTTCGACGACCGCCCTCGAGATCTTACAGTGCCGCCGATGTTAAAGGAAAGTCACTAACTTACTCATGTCTCACACACATATAGGAAAAGAGAGAGGAATGCGAATTTGTGACGCCCGAGTTAAAAAAGCTCAAAAAACACCTCTTCAAAAAAAAAAAAAAAAAAAAAAAACGACGGAAGTAACTGCTGGTGCCATACTTACTGTGGCCTAACTTTTGGACTGTCATAGAATTTACTAATACGGAGTATATTCACGTCTATGTTGGGTCTCGGTTTAGGATCATTTTCACCAGAATCTTCTGCCGTCGGCATTTCTGAGGCTGCAACTTTAATAAAAAAAGATCTCTATTAAGAAGAGTATTTTAAATCGGGGAAATTCATCATGATCATTGCAATGCCACTTTAAATGCTGGGCTTACTAAAACCAACCAATCATATCATCAGAAAACAAACACAATTTCAACTTAATTTAATGCAATTCATAGCTCTTTTCTTGCAATCGAAATGGAAATGTTTTTGTATTGACTCCTTTCAACAGTACGTGGTCGCTTCGTATTATCAGCTTTTCCACTAAAGATCACAATGCTTCCCTCAGAAGCATAACACATGAATCTGTCACAATTGGTGTAATTTTTTTTTCATAAAATTGAAATTCAGACCAGTATCCACAATCATAAATTGAGTTGTGCGCTTCATGTCAGAAATGAACAAGACATAACAGAAAAATGTCAAGCTTACTTAGCTCAGATTTCCAGTTGCCGTGAAATTGAGTTAAAATTGAGTGTCTCGACGTTTGCTTTAATTTTTTTGTACAATTAAGAGATAATATTTTCATTTGTTTTGAATAACATCTTTTTCCTTCATTGTTGTTTTAAAAATCAAAGGAAAAGTGGGAAAAATCATAGTTTACTTTTGTCGTTCGCCCCTGTCGTAACGCAATGCTTGTGGGAACAGCTGTGTGATTGTGACCCTTCCTTCAGGATGGCATTCTAAAGTGTGCAACATGCAAACTTAAATTGTCACTTCTATTGGAACACACGACAGTCAGATGGTACTCTGGGTGTGACACGATGTTACTCCTTACCCACTTTAAAAAATACTAGCTACGCCCTTGATGCTGAAACTCCCTAATACTCCCGTTCTCGTATTCATTCCTATTTTGTGCAAGTACATGGCAATTCTGCGCAGACGCCACTCTGAGGTAGAACTTACTCTCATCGAATAATGATACTTTTTTATTTTCCAGTTCTTCCTCTTCTTCATCGCTCTCTGAGCTTTCATCTTCGTGTTGAGGCTCTCCATCTTCTCGATCCGCTTTCAAAAAGAAGAAAAAGAAAGGGATAAAAGAAAAGGAAGCTTGAGACTTCAAACCCAATAGCAAAGAGATATGAATAAAATCTAGCCTGTTTGAGTCAGTAAGTAATTACAATGATTTTCACGGAGTTTTTAAAAAGCTCTGACCACTATGTAACTGTCCAAATAAAACCAAAACCGCCAAAAGCTTTGCTTCTGCCACAAGTCTAAAATTTTCAGAAAATCGGAGAGCTCTTTCCGAAGGTATGACAATGGCGGATCTCGTATCATAATAATTAAAAATGGATGCCTACTTCGGTCGACTGCTATTACTTCTCATCGGTTAAAATTCTAATCTTGTTTACGTGTAATGAATACCACCTAGATCATCTGTGTTTTGTGACTGAAAAGTAATATTCATTCGCAATGCTCGGTGGCATCAACATTAAAATACTCAAAAAACACACGCACAGACCAGCAATGTTTAACATATTTTTCAGCACTTAGACGAAAAAAAGAATTTTCTTACAGAATTCTACACCATCGTCGTCTTCATCTCTGTCATTTTCCGAGTCGGAAACGGAAGTATAGGAGTCGCAATCAGAGCTGGAGTTGTATTCTTGGCCTTCTTCGTCCATCCTGAAAAGGAAAACTGAATTTCATGACCGTTTGTTGACAGTCTTCGGATCAGAGCCAAATCTAGGAAGCCTTAATACCTTTAGGGCCAATGAGAAATCAAAGTGGAAACAATCCAACTGCCAAAACACAGGAAAATGCGGGTGCTCAAGACGTGATTAATTTTAGTTTTGCAATGTGATCGGTTGAGAGGATAGCGCGATGTTTCTGGGGTAGTCACAAAGCGAAAAAAGCAAAACCAATGGAATCTCAGATTAACCTAGACACTTAATTGAAATTTGCTCTGAATGGGCACATAATACTGCGTATAAAATTACCTACATGATACTCTTTTTGTTCAGTGCTTACTTCTATTATTATTAATAAGGACCTCTTTTCAACATGAGTCACGCACGAATTACTTGTGAATTCATGAAATATCTTTTTTTTTATAATTTGCAATCAGTAGACTAGGTAAGGGAAGAACCATTCTAAAAGAGAGGGGGTAAAAACAAAAGAAAGAGAAATATACATACCCCCTCTGCCTCCCTTTATATGCTTTTCTGATGGTCTATCCAAGGTAATATCGTTTCTAAAAAAAAGACCCGCATATCAAGAAGTAACAACTCACTCTATTTGAGACGATAAGGTAATCTTCTCTTATTTTTTTCATATTGAAATATTTCCTTTCCAAACTTAACTAATATATAAATATTCGCCACCCAAAATGCCTGCAGTGGAAAACAAGAACGGGTAGCACGTGGTGCTCTCATGATAATATGTAGAACAAACAAAATTAATGCAATTTAGGCAATCTCTTGTTCCAAATTGGCGTAAAAATTTCAAAGTCAAGCTATGACTACCAGGAACGAGCAGTATGTGATTCACTCATTAATTGTGTGGGGCAAAAAAAGTGAAGAAGATGATCATTTATTTCAAAATCTATCTACGAGTTGGATTTAAGCTTATTTGCATTTTCCACTGGTGTGCTGATGAATACTCCATAACGCTTTTGACTTAAATAACCCTATATTTTCTCAAAAGAAGTCAAATGATGTGTTAAAGAATTCATATTTTGATTTTTCGCCTTAAATTTTTCTCTGACAAAAAATACCTGCCAAGTTTTAAATTAGTTAATAAGCAAGGAGTGGTTCACTGCATCTTTCACTCAAAGCATGTGTTTGTGGCAACTGGTTCCTCCTTCCATTTCTACAGTGCACACAGGATATAACACGTGGCCGGTAATTTGATTCAAAATCAAAACCAAAAGGGTTTCAGATTATCTCGTAGCACTCAGGTTTCTCGGTTCTCACTAAACATACTGATAAAAAAATAGATAAAGCGGATACACGGCACTTTAGATCGATAAGATTATCACAACTTGTTTTTGTCTGCAGTTATTTAGCCTAGTGTGTCCTTGCTGCCTCACTTTACTGAAAGACCTGCATGAAACCAAGACCTTATGCCTCATACTAGATTGTCTTTTTTTCTTTGATGCAATTAGTTTTTGTTATTTAATACAAACTCGTACTGTTACTGATGGAACACGAGTAGGTGAGACGAAAATCCACTTAATTTGTATAAATTATCTCAGAGCTTACCTTAAAACGACGTTTCGTCAACGACGGAGCGTTGAATTCGTCCTCGAAAACCTGTTAAATTTGTAAAATTTTAGAAGATCGAAGATAATTTGATGACTTCTTCAGAAGGCGACTTAACACAAACAGTGTCCGTCAGGATAAAAGCGTCACGCGCAATCAGCAAATATTTTATTAGCTTGATTTCTGAGAAACTTCCGGTTTTTAGATCACGCCGAACATTGTGTCACGCAAGATCACGCAAGGGAGAGTACTTTCTCATTAAGCTAGTGTATTGGATATTTCCTCGTTTGTGTGTGTCATAAAATAGCTATGGCGTTTTTTAAAATTTAAATCAATATAACATCAATCTGAGTGACAAATTTGATAATATTTCAAAGGTAATCCCACTGAAAGGCTAATGTAATTTAAAGGATTACATTTTCAGTGACCTCCCTTTAGCAATTTAGTTATTCTCTGCTAGCTAAGCTTAGCTTTCATCCCTTCATAAAATGTTGCCTCTGTAGAACATTAGTGTGCAACCATCTTATCAGAAACGGTATTGTTCAGTGTTTCAGTTGAGCCAAAAGACAAATCAATCTGCGAACCTTTCATACTCCTTACGTTTACATGGGAAAGACCAATCTCTCATTTATTTATTATCAGTGACGGATTTTTAAAGAAAAAGTTGATATTTTTAGACCTTTTGAGTAGAATGGGAGTTAGCGGCTCAAGGTCGGTTTTGGAAAAACTTGTTTTGTTTTGTTTGACGATATCGATTTTAAAATCAAATTTACATATGGGCTTGACAAGCATTACCAAGGCTTTATGTAGGAGTAAAGCAAAAAATTTTCCATATGTTTAAATTACAGGACAATTTCTTCGGGGTTTTTAGTTTTTAAGTCTTTTCCATGATACCTAATGCGTAAAGATCTGAAGATAAGATAATTTAAGTGATTCCTTGGAAAATTATGAAATCCAGTTTAGTAGGGCATGCGGAATTAAATGGGAAATACACAAATTGTTACCTGATTGGAACTAGTTCTGTGTGATTAACATTACAACACAAGTTGTTCTTGGAAAGAAAAGATGTGTCACAAAAAGTCTTTGTTTAAATTTTCGATCCTTGTTCGCAGGCAAGAAGCCAAAATTACAATTATAATTAAGTTCGGATATAACGCGTGCTCTCATTGGTTAAAAGAGCGTGCTCTAGGAGAGTATAGAGCATAGAACTGAGCTAAAGCTGTCACGCCATAAACCAAATTGTACTACGTCCGACCTTTTCCGAGACTTCTTACTAGCTTTTCTTTCTTAAATTGAAAGTGAAATTTCGGAACAAGCGAGCAAAGGTTTGCAAAAATGCCAGGCGCAGTAATTTACGTTACTGTAACGTGATCAGAGACAAAAATCCTCAAATCCTCCGAGTTTTAACGGTTTTCACGCTCAGTTAGATTGCAAGTTTAAGTAAGGTAATAAAAATCAAAGACAGCTAACACTTCTATAGTGTATAAAATTTCTTTTTCAAAAACAAAGCAGAAAAAAAACAGGAATGATGAAAAGTATAACCTGGCATAACTGTTAAAATTAATACTAATCATGACGGTGTCAGAGCGACTGCGATCATGCTGAGGCCTAGCTCATCAGGCCGATCTTCGGTCATCGCAGTGGAGCAAGCCTCAGGAACTAAACCGACTACCCTTCGAGTGGAAAAATAAGAGCTTGCTCTGATTACCTTTCAGATGCGTTGAGCGGAAGGCCACGTCAGTCACTACAGCCGAGTTTTACGGCGCTGTCATTCCGAGCGATCTTCATGTCCTAGTGAATTCGGCTGTTGTTCATTCCTATTGCACTCGGCCTGAACAGTTTGTTTTCTACTTGTCATGTGAAATAATTTTTGTATTTTTATGAGCCACGATTGGGTCGAATTTCACTTTTCACTTTTAGATTCTGTATTAGAAACTGAAAAACTTCAGGCAAAAGTGTTAACTTCGACATGCCGAACTATTTTAGTTTGCAGAATATGAACTTTGATGGTTTAACATTTTTGACAGCTTTAGTCTTGTACAGCCAATCAGATTATTTGATATTTCTAACAGGGATTCTGATTGGCTTCTTGTAGCGTGCTTTATGAGGGTATCATGAGCATGCTGACGACACTGTTCGCTTTAGAAGTAAAATTTGTTTCGAAAATTGACAGTAATTCTTGGGGAATTTAACGGATTCTTTATTATAAAACAAATAGAGAAGCCTTGACTGTGCTCTGTTCTGTTGTAAAGCATTTAGGAAGCGGCTAGAGCACTAACGTCTCGTGTTTCCCCCTACACTTCTTTCGTGCTCTAGCCACTTCCTGCGTGCTTTACAACAGAACAGAGTACAATCAAGGCTTCTCTATTTGTTAAATAGGAGCCGATTTCTTACGTCTGCAATAAGTTAGCGCATCACTGACGATCGTCGTGTAGGCCCTGTCACCTTTTACTGGTTTAAAATGATGTTTTGGGTGACGATATCGAGTTTAAAATCGAAGTTAAAAGTTGGCTTGTGAAACATTACCCTAGCTTTATATAGGAGTACAAATTTTTCATGTGTTTGAATTAAAGGACAATTTCTTCGGGGTTTTTAGTTTAAGTCTCTTCCATGATATCTAGTGTGTAAAGAACTGAGGATAAGATAATTTGGACGAACGTTTAAAAATTTGAAATATCAAAACTACCCATATCAGTCAGTATATTGTTAGTATGACAATTTTTTCTTCGCCTGATAAAAAAGTCACGTGTTTTTAACAAAATTATCCGCGGAATCATGACCCGACAACTGGTAATTATTTTTTTCTTTGTCTGACGTGTTTTTAGGTTTACTAGGAAAGAAAAACATAACATCAAGTCTGTCCAAGAAACATTGTACATGTAAATAAAAGTAAGTGACAACATTCCAGCATTTGTAAATAAGTCACTTTTAAATGTGTTTGTGCGAGTTGAATTTTGTGAATGAAATATCGAAAATTTCGTAAATCAGTGGTTATGTGTGAGGAAAAACTACTGGTATTGAGTTTTTGTTAGAGATTATTCATAGAGGTCAGTGGATTGCGAGTAATTTCAAGTGATGATTTTCAGTTGTATCCGTAAGCAAGTTACCTTGGACTTCGATTAGCGTAAAAGCTTATAGGGCAGGCTGTTCAAATATTACTAGCCATTCCTTGGCTACATTCTCAGTAGTAAAATAAGAAAGTGAGAAGCATTCGAAGGTCTGTGGCAAGCTGAATAAAAAAATTACTTCGTAAAAATTATCTTCGCGGTCATCTCCAAACTGCAAAACATTGCGCAGATTGAATATTCTGCATCGAGAGGTACGTTACTGATGTCTCAGTGAACCCGCGATATAAAGCAGTTATCAAAATAGAAGGTTTATAGTAAAGCTATTTTAACTTAACGGAACTTGATGCGCTCGTAAACTGAAAGAGTTGATTTCTGGGGATTCCAGTCCACTTCCTGTTTGTGAATGATGTGTCACGCTCTCCAAGCACGGTCACACAAGACTACTCCACATTTCCGTAAGCAAAATAGAAGGGGAAAATAATACAATCGAAACTGTATAACGTAGCACCGTATTAAGCGGCCAACCTATATCAATTAGTGGTTGGTTGTCAAAGTCCCGAAATTTTTTTTAATTTCCACTATTTTTCATTTCTGTTAAGCGGTCACCTCTATTAAGCGGTCGTGGTCACCTTTGATCAAGCCTCAACCGCCTGTTTTTATGCTATTAAGATACATGAAAAATTACTCAGTTCTGATTGGTTAAGATAAATGCAGTTTTCAGGTAATTCAATGGCTATAACTATTTAGCCGGACTTAAAACTTCTTTGGGCCCTTAAGATGTGAAAATATCATTGTATATTATTCTTTTGATCGTGCGCGATTGTTTTGACCGAACACACAATGTCACCTGCAAGCTTTGAATAAATAATTCTTGCACTTGACGCGTGCGTTATGCTTCTGCATAATTATGATAAGCTATATATTATTAATACGTAATCACACGATTTTTCCCGTTCAATTTGGAATAAATAAGCACTTGCAAACTTTTTCAAAGACCACAAATTGCAAACAAAGTTTGTTAGTCTTTGAAAAAAATTTACCCGTGCTTATTTATCCAAAATTGCTCTCGAAATCATGTGATTACCTATACTAAGGTTGACATAAAGAACTGGTCATTATTTTTGGAGAGCAAGGGGGAAGGGAAAAAAAGTTTGGAAAGATGAACATTTAAATGAGCTCCCTACGCTTACTGCCGTTCTTGTTACAGAGAGAAAAATCAAAATTTTTCGTCTACAGTTAGTTGCCTGAATAATATTATTCCACTTCATTTTATAACGAAAAGCAAACTGAAGCTCTGTCTGCTCTTCAATAGCCCGTAACGAAAGACATACTGCGATCTCGAATAAGTGAAGATACATCAACAAGAGTAAAGGGTAATATTTCAAAGAGGGCTCCTTACCTATCTGGACTTTTCCCTCTGTGTGTGAAATACGTGATCAAATGCAGGTTGTTGTTGCGACTGGATTAAGTCCAAGATAGCTGAAGGCCAATTTTACTCGCAGAAAAAGTCAAAAAGAGGGAGAATTGCGTGAAAAATCCATTATCAGAAGCAGTTAGTTACATGTGAATTTTTTCAGCGGAGTCTGTTTACTTGGAAATGACACGAGATGGAGCAAAGTCTGGTTTGGCAAAATGGAATTTGATTGGTGTAATACAATTTAAGCACGTGAAAAATTGCCCAATGTTCATGTAGTGCAATGATTGGGTATGTTCTGATTGGACTTTGGACGTTGTTTCCAGGGTAAGTAATGGAATATAAGTTGTTTGGCGTGTAAGTTGAGTAAAGGAGCGGAAAGAAGCACGTTTTAACTTAGAAATGGTTCCAATGATGCCAAACTTTCATATCCCGATAAATCTCGACCTTAGTCGATGAGGCTCTCGTGAAGGCCACAAACCATTGCAATTGGGTAATCTCCTATTCGAGCCGTGACGAACAAGGACGAGCAGCATGTTGTTTATTCGTTACTTTACGTAGGACAAAATTTGATTTGTTGCCTTAAATTTTTCTCACATTGTAAATACCTGCCAAGTTTTATATTATTTAATAAGCAGGGAGCGGTTCACAACATCTTCCACTCAAAGCATGTGTCTGTGACAACTGGTTTCTCTCTTCATTTCTACAATCCGATCAGTATATGACACGTGGCAGGTAATTAATATTCAAAATCAAAAGGAAAAAGGTTTCAGATTGTCTCTTAACACTCAGTATCTCGGTTCACACCAAATATTGATATAAAAAAATAGAGAAAGCTGGGATGGAGCACTTTACAACGATATAATATTCATAACTTGTTTTTGTCTGCGACAATATGGCCTAGTGTGTTGTTGTTGGCTCCCTTTGCTGAAAGACCAGTATGAAACCAAGAGCTTATGCCTCACACTAGATTGTCTTTTTTCTACAATGTAATAAGTTTTTCTTATCCAACACAAACTCGTAATGTTACTCAACGAACACGAGTAGGTGAGACAAAAATCCACTTCATTGTATAAATTATCTCAGAGCTCACCTTAAAACGACGTCAACGACGGATCATTAAATTCGTCCCTTTATAAAATTTGACAAGACCGAAGATAATTTGATAAGTTCTTCAAAAGGCGACCTAACACGAAAGGTGTCCGTCAGGATAAAACGGTCATATGCAAATAGCTAATATATTTTATTGACTTGATTTCTGAGAAATTACGGCTATTATGTGGTGTAGAAAACACACAGTATACGTCACACTATTGTTTTCATTGTTTTCTTTTTCCCAGAAGTGATGTGATGAAATTCTATTGTGGCGTATACTGTGTCTTCTACACCAAGTAAGAGCCGAAAACTTCCTTTTTTTTAGATCACGCCGAACACTGTGTCACGCAAGATCACGCAAGGGGGAGTATTTTCTCATTAAGTCGGTTTATTGGAGATTTGCCTGGATATGTGTCATAAAATTGCTATAGCGTTTTTCAAAATTTAAATCAACGCAAAATCAATTTTGCTTGACAAATTCCATAATGTTAAGGTAATCCCTCTGAAAAGTTATTTTATTCCTGAAAAGTTAACTTGAAAGGATATCATTTTCAGTGAGCCCCCCATGGCGATTTAGTTTCTCTGCTGGCTAACCTTAGCTTTTTACATCCCTTCATAAAACGTTGCTGCTTTGGAACATAATTATGCAACCATTTCATCAGAAACGATATTGTTTAGTGCTTAAGTTGAGCCAGGACAGTCCATCATCTATCAAAAACTAAAAAGTAAAAGAAAAGTTAATCTGTGAACCTTTCATATTCTTTAACTTCATATACATGCGAAAGACTAATCTTTTATTTATTTATTGTCAGTGACGGATTTTTAGAGGAAACGTTGAGATTTTTAGACCTTTTGAGTAGTATAGGAGTCGGCGGCTCAAGATCAGTTTTAGAAAGAACTGGCTCAGAACTGAGCCAACTCTGTAAACTACTTTCTATACGATAATGATTATTTTTGACATCATGTCATTGCATTTTTGTGGTTTAGTGACTGAAGTCACACGGCAGCACAGAAGCCAAGCTCCGAGCAGGGGATGGTGTGACTAAAAGTCACCTCTCGCTGTGACCGTGGTGGGAACTGAGCTGTAACTCACCCGACCGCGACAGGATGCAAATGACTCACTTTTTGTTTCACGAGCATGATACAACGCAATGAGAGTGCACACACCGCCTGGCGTCAGATAATGGTGTCAGGTCAGGCATGATATAGGCGCCACAGAGCGGCTATTGCCCTTTTTTTTTCTTATTTAATCGTATACAACGGAGTGACGTTGATGATAAACATTTAATCATTTAATGGAAATCATAACTGATCTGTTGTCCTTGCCATTGCGTAGCATTCACAGAATAACCGGAAGTTGATGATTTAAAACATTGTGGATTTTCCCGAAGAAATAAGTCATAAACAAATAGAGAATAATACATGGGCGCACGTAGATAAGGAATTTCTCTTCGAGTGTTTAACTCAATAGCTCACTAGTGAGCGCAGCGAAACGAGTCAGATGTCGAGTTGAACACGAGAATTCGCAACTTCCTATGCCTCAAACGCCTCTTTGAATTTCTCCCCGTACTCCTGTGCCAGCTGTTTAAAAGCCAAAACTACATTGTCAGTTTCAGGATAGACACTGAGCTCTTCCAGTGAACAACTGCAAAAAAGAAATATAAACATGTCATTTTCCTGGTAACTTAATCAAACAACAGTAATTGGGAAGTGTCACTGAATTGTGTACATTACTAATGGTAAAAAAGCTACACTTTCTTTCAAATTGCGAGGCTTTGTGGTAAAGGAAAATTAGCTTACATTCCACAATAAGTGCTGAAATTTAAAATCATACTTGGAAATAAATCTGCAGTGCGTAATTCCTGGACTAAAAAAGGGAAAAAACTAAAGCTCTGATGGCTGACATGGCAACGTCAACAAAGCTATGTTTTAGCCACTTTTTAATGTGCAATAGATGTATGCACAAGCTATAACGAGGAAACCTTATATAGAACCGCATTTGTTTAATACCCTGGACAGTGTTCCATCACAATACAGTCACCTTTTTGAACCCAGCGTCTTCTCTAAAAATTAACACGAATTACCTGATTGACTTGATAGTCAGGTAAAACTCCTTGAGAGCATCGAAGACATCGCCAGCTTGCATTCTGTGAAATCAGTGCACATGGTCAAACACAAAACCAATGTTTTACAAGATTCAAAGAGATCTGGAAATGAAAAAACTACCTAGCAAGAGGAGAGTACCTTAAACAAAATTGACAATTTTTTGTAATCTAACAATTTCACGTGAGGAAATTTAAGAATAAGATTAACTAAAAGGAAAAGAACAGTTCAAATGGAGGAAGACTGATGCTTATTTACAGCATGTTTACCCAGCACATTGGGTAAAAAAAACTTTGTTATTCTCTTACCCGTTTTCTTTCGCAATGACTGTGGAGGATCCATGCTTGAAAAAGTCCAAAGCATAAGCATTCAGGGGCAGGGTATTCTTGACTGGGAGAATGGGTACAAGATTCATATCAGTGTAGACACCTTGACGAATGATCTAAACAACACAAAAAAAATATAGAGGGTCATTTAATTACGTTGTAAATCAAAAATTAGAGAGGATCAAAGATTTTTTTTAGCTCTTGAAAAAGCGAACGACAAAATTGGGGCCTGGCGAATCGTTTTAAATACCATAAATGAGTCCTTTCAAGGCAGAGTGTTACCAGTAAACCTAATACTGCTTTCACATTAATGCTTAAACATGTTTTAAAACTATTTTTTGCTTCAAACACGGTTTTAAATTGTTTTCGTCATAGAAGCTGCTAAAACCAGTGTTCTACTTCAAGTTTGGGACATTGAAAGTACAATTTAGTGACTACTTGAAACCTAGCTATGGAAAATTCAGCTTTTCATTTCTCTGTATCTGATTTTCATTCAATTAAACCCGGTTCAACTAAACACGTTTTGCTTGTGTGAAAGTGGTATATTAAAGATTGTGGAGACATTTTGTCCTGATACTGTGCTTAGAAAGAGCCCCCGAAGAGAGACACCCAAACGTGACTAAAGAAAGGATCATTTTTCACCGTGAGTAGATATTTAAGTGGCTCCTCCTCGCATTCATCCTCGTCACTGTTAACCTCAGCTTCACTTTGGCCATTCGTTCTTTGGCTTGAAGGATGTAATTGGAATTCTGTATTTCCTGATAGCGCAGCGAACGAGGAACAAGCCGAATACTGTATAGAAGAGTTCGCAAGGACTTTGATCATATCGTTCTCGTCAATGTCATCAATGCTGGCTTTTTTCGGAAATTCTGCGACAGAAATAGTTCGACTGTATTCAGCGATCAATACATGTTTTGATTCAAATATTAATAAGCTGAATAATACAGGCGTTTTGAGTTGTTCTTATTTTTGATCTATAGGAGGACATACGTACTGATCAAATCACTACTCGCTTTTTTTTATTCATGATACGAAAGAAACGCTACAGATTCCAAGTCTCCGTACTTCTGTCGGGTGAAAGATCATAGATGAGATCACAACGTGGTCAGGACATCAGTGACTCTCGATGGACTGCGCTTCTTGTGCCACATTTTTGCTCTAACCAAACTTCGATCTCATCTGTAATTTATTACTGAACAGATGAACAGACTCACGGCAACATGGAATCCCTTTATCAAAGTGACATTTTCTCAGAATATATATTTCAATTTACTGTGCAAGCAAGTATCAAAATCATGCGAACAAGAATGCATATTAAATAATTCTTACCTATTCCTGATAAAGGGAGTTTGTTATCCTCTCCTCTGTCTTTTTCCAGCCACTGAGCCACTGTGGCAAGGTACTGACTGAACACATCGGTGACTTGACGGTTGTAGCTTTTGACTGCCTTGACAAATTTATTCGGGAGATCCTCCAAAATGACCTGCGTTTAGTCCAAAATCCAAACGTTTTCATGATTTGTACACTCAAGACGCTTAGCAGTCACGCGTTATAAAAGCTATTTTGACGTGCGGGAGAGAAATTCATTCGTTTTGGTAAAGCTGGTTTCAGTTTTTTTCCAGTGCATTGTATATCCTTCATAAAGTTCACGACCACCTCCAAAGACTTTAAATGAAACTTTTAAAGAAGCGCTGTTTAGAGCACTTTTTTGAGAACGTGTGTAAGTACAAAATAACGCACCGAAACTAAATTCGTTTTCAAGATGAACCCCTCCTCAATTCGCGCTTTACAACAAATCAATTTAAAGAATAGACCAGTAAATCATCCAAGGGAAGGGTATGCTTACTTTTGAAGAGGATGGTGTCCTTAGCATGATCGAGGGATGAACATAAGTTCTTCCAAATAAGTGGCTCAGAACAAGCACCATTTTCCTCATAACATCTTCAGAAAATTTACCTGTCACAGTAAAAAAAAGCATAATTAACGCGAAGTATGGATCCAAAGTTTGCCAAAGAGAAATACGCCGGCGTTAACAGTATAGTTAAAAAAGACCCTCCAGATTAAATCAGAGGCGCAGTGGACTGACGGTGAACGCACTAGACTTTGGGTAAAGAGGTGTGGGTTCGACACCTGGTTGGGCCATAGTGTTGAGTTCTTGGACAAGACACTTTATCCTCACAATACCTCTCTCCCCCCCGGAAGTATATCTGATTAGCGTAGAGCTGTCAGAGAAGCTACGAATTATCTTTAGTGGATAGACATTCCACCTAGGGAGGATTAGTAATCGTCCTATGCACCCTATACAAACAAATCCGAAGTAAAGTGTGGCGCCTTGTGGGCCAATCGAGAGTAGACTTATCAACCAATGTAAAGAGGTCCCTTAAAGCCAAGCGACCTTACTTCCTAATATGTTTCCCGGGCCTCCTTTGTTACCCCATCGCGATAACCCAGAGGCACGTGACAAAGCATCTCATTATATGTGTTGTTAGAAGCCACTTCTTGTTATAAGGTGTATACAACATTTGCCAATAAAAATTGACATATGCACAATTGTTAAGTTCAGAGAGGAACTGTAATGGCGAAAGGTAAGCAGCAAGGGCGAACAAAGACCACAGTTTGGATTAAAAAACGACCAGGCAGGACAACTCGATTTCTGTCTAGTTGGAGAAATTTTCCCCTTCTTTTATGATTTTACATAAAATAATTTGCTAAGGAATCGTTTTCCCTTAGCGTCTGAAAAGTGTGATCCTTCCAAAAAGCTTTAAAAAAGTGTCACTTAGCTAATCAGTCGTTCAGTTTGAAAGGAACTGCGGGCTTACCGTTTGTCCCTGGCTGACACAGCTCGTGGAAGAGACCACATTGTAGAAAACTGATGAGGGCATAATTGGAGGGTTCATGGTAGTGAAGATGGGTCGCCAGTCCGGCCATTTCCTGTGGAGCTCCGGTTTCTTTGTTTATAAGAGACTGGAAACGAACGAGTGATTAAAGACTTTGGTTATAAATCCCTTCGTGCAAGCTTTCGCCTGGCCTTGAAATTCCACTTACTAGATGTTGATTTGTCACGTAACGAGATCAAATTATGGTGTGCTAAGCTTACTAAACCCTAGGCAATCCTCTCCCTACTCCTGTGAGAGACCACACCTCACCAAATATACAGAAAGGATAATACTGTGAAGGCAAAACGTTTTCAATGACTCATGTATCAACTAGAGATATAGAAAACCTTTGGTCGTACCACTCACCAATCTAGTTAAAAGTTGAACGCTGAAGAGGAAATGTAGCTTGATCTGGGTTTCCATTTGCGGGTACTTTTGGCAAATAAAAGGATGAGACAGCAATGCTAGGGCCTAATAAAAAAAGGATGTGCGAGTACATCTAATACGCTCAACATTGTAAACACATGTAGAAGTCGTAATTGTTAATTCTCTTGCCTTAATCTGATTATGAAGTATTTGTATTCAATAAGTTGGGAGTATCTCCTGCGCTGAACAATGACGCAGCAGAAACTTATTTTTTCATAGTTTAGCTATATCGGCAAAAATAGGTTTTCTAATCAAGCGTGAGTCGAGTGCAAAGGGCGCACTTACTGCCTGAAGGTAACTTATCTTATTTTATCATATTGTCTATTAAGGAAAAAAGAAACCATTAAAAATTCATTCAAAAGAGTCCTTCGAAACCTTAGTGAGAGCATCTTTCTTGTCATCTGCTTGGGTCGTCATCAGAAGCAGCCGCAGAACCAGTGAGACAGTGATGGGGTAGTTGCCGACAAGCTTCGGGATATTTGCAGTCATGAGGCGTTGGATTTTACGGTAAGGAATTCCAAAGAAAATGATTTTTCCCACGGGATCAAAACCTCTCCGACCCGCCCTGCCAGACATTTGAAAATGACAAATAAAGCCCTGGGTTCACACTCGTGGTATTAGCAATAGTATTACAGCTATCACGGAAAAGATTGTTCAGTGGCACGTGTCAAAAATTATCCTTCAAGCATTCGATATATACATGTGTATTGGACGCTGTGAAGCCTATTCACCGCATGCGTTAAGGGAACCTCGTTATGCAGAGGTTTCAAAAACGTTTCCCTTAAACGACTCTCGATGGCTGTGATGAACACGAGAGCCTACTCGCAGACTAAACAGACGGCTGTGAAAGGTTTTATAGGCGGCAGTAGACCGCCGGTAATCGACTTTCATAGAAACCCCTGCGTTTTGCTATGCAGGGATTGAAAGAAATACATCGAAAGAACAATTTAAAAAATCGCTAACAATCACGGAAACGCCGAACTAGAGAAATTTCGAACAGCGAGAACTGACCATGAGTTAAGTTAGATATGTCCCACTCAATTACCTGCCGGTACTGCAGTGAATTTAAGTAGTGCGAGTCTCCGGCAAACACGACTGTCTTACAAGGCATGTGAATACCAAGAGCCAACGTTGCAGTTGAATTAACCACCTAAAAAGGTAAGTAAATACTGTAATGCGATGTACTAGATCTCAAACTGTGTGCCCAATCGCATGATTGGTTCTAAAAGGTTTGCTTGAATATATATTTTCTACCGAAAAGCCTAATCAAATTCTGAGGATGATACCATGAGCGGATACGAGGGAGACACCCTTTCAATAAGGATCATCGTTTACACTCAGCCTTAAGGTGTAAATCTTCATTTAGAATCATACTCTACGTTGAAATATTCAAAATCAAAACGCTTTCGCGAGTACACCTAAATATGTGACTTTTTAACAGTTTACATACAACTAATGGAATCTTACCTGAAGGTATTTGCCTCTGAACAACATTTCCACCACGGAACGCTTTTTCGCATTACATCCGCCATGATGATAGCTGATTCCTCGTTTTAGAGCCCGCTTAAATAATGATTTGTCAGGGATGTACGAGATTCTCTTTGTTATCTTTTCGTAATCCTACAAATGAATTTTATCAATTAAATTGTCTAATTGTCTTCATAATGCCTCTTTTGATAGGTGCGTCAGAAATAATTGCTTTTTTCAAATGTGTTCAGTGTTTTTGTTTGGCTACCGCTAGCATTTCATAATCACGACATGGAGTTGTTCCATTGTTCCGAAACAGCATTCTGGTTTGCAATTTAAAGAAGTAAACTCAAAAATAGATCCTCTGGGCAAAAAAAAGAAAGTCACAAAACACCGGTTTTGTTATCGAAACAACATTCCTTTGCTTCCTACCTTTCTTCCAATCCCAAATGTAAATGCCAATGAGCACTTGAGTAGAATTTTATCCACGGCTGAAATAGAAACACTCTCATCTTGCTCATCCGGTTGGCTTTTTAATCTGTTTGGAGAGCAGTTATACCATGTAAAAGCAATAGGAAACAAGCAAAAGAAACAGCAAAAACAACAACAAGACCCTCAGTCGTTTTTGTACGTATTGTCACGCCTTCGGGCCAATATTCCTCCGTCCGACCTTCACACTCGGTTAGTAAGAAGTTAATATACAACAACTCAAGCTCTGCTACAGAAGAACCCCTTGAACTTAAAAAGATACTTTGGAAAACCGTCCTAATAAAAGAATGAACAATAAATGTACGAAAAGGAAAAAGGCAAGTCACAAAGGTTGTACACAACTGTAGTTTCACGATCATAAGTTGAACAAGGCAGAAAAATTACTGAACTGACTACCTTTTCTCTTTTTCTTTCTGTAATTCATCTCTTTTTCTCTGTAACTTTTTTTCAGCTTTTTCTTGTCTCTTCTGTGCAAGTCTTGCTTCTCGTGTGTCGGCCTCTCTTCGCATAACTAGTTCCTTGTTTTCTAGTTTCTGAGCATAACCGAGGGCCAAAACTTCGCAGAGTCTACGATCATCGCTATGAAGAAGAATTATACATATCTTAACATTGACACTTGGATTTTCTTCTTTTTCCACTTACTGTCGGGGCATTAAAGTGAACGAATATTCGCTTATTAACCCTTTACAACGTAACATCAATACGCCAATTCTCCACACTGTTCTTCAAACATTTCTTAAGTTGCTGACAAGGAGAATTTGTTTGCCAATCAAAGGTTCCTTCCCTAGCGACCATTTCCTTTATTCTCATGACCTTAATGTGTGCTTCAGGAGTAATATTGTAGGGAGAAATTAGATGCTGGTCACTCGTAGGGTTGAAAGAGTTAATGAAATGTTATCCAAGATAGATGGAAGCCCCGCAAAACAAAATAACGAAAAACACAACAACAGGAGAGCCTCCAAAGTAGCGGTTGAAAGCCAAATTATCACAGCGATGCTCAGTGTTTCAAAAGCTGATGCTCATCAAGTTGACCTTTACGCCTGACAAAGACCAACAGTTAAATGTAACACACAGTAACGAGCCACATCAGAAATTATTACATCGTGGGCAGACATCAATATTTCATGATCAGTGTGCTTTACCACGATGAATAATTATGGACTTGTCGCAAAAATTGCTGGAAAATTCAGGCTTTCGTCATTCATTTAACGCGTTCCATATGCGTAGTCCTGATAAACTAACAAATCTACCGGAAGCTTTTCTCCTTTTTGAACAAAGAGAAGGGGTGCGCTGACTTTTCCAAATTAAAAGAAAATGATAATATCTCTGGTTAAATATTTATGAAATGGCCTCGTGAACAACTTATCGGTTTACTACCTTTCAAATGTAGTAAACCTTTGAAATTAGTTGTGTCTTTCTCACCGCACATTAGTGTGTAACGTTACATTGTGCTAACCTTCCCGTGCTTACTGATTAACCCTTCACTCCCAAGACCTCATTAGTAATTCTCCTTATAATCTGCCATACAATTCTTATAATGTTAGCTTAGAGAAGTTGGTATTAGATCAACTAAGAGTCCCGTCATCGATATGTTTCTTTATTCTCATCACTTGTCTTGATATTGTATTGATATTGTAAGGAGAAATTCTCTCTCGGTCACTCATGGGAGTTAGAGGGTTAAGTAAGATCTAGTGTTGTTCATTAAAGTTGACTCTTAACAATTTTCATTTACCTAAATATCAAGGCAGGCAGTTTCTCCTGGGCTTTGAGCTCGTTGATAAGTTTTTCAAAAGTTTTCTTTATGAATATTTTGCCATACGAAGTCATTCTCTGTTCACCCCATCGTTCTTCCGTTGACGAATGAGTTTCCAAAAAAACTGAGTTTAAAGAATCAATAACTGACTGAACCTAAGAAAACAAAAACAATGATCCTATTCAATACACAATACAACTAGAGCCTGTATCTTACAAAGTGCGTGTTTCGTTTTTATTGCTTGTTAAAAATTTTTTTTTCCATTTGTTTTTGAGCATGGTTATGCAATGCAAAACAAATAAAAAACGACTGTCAGTCAATGAATAAGATATATTTAAAACTGCGGATTAATAATTGAAAATGAGAGACATCAGTGCAGTTCTGAAAACTAATCAAGCAGTACTGAAAATAAAGCCTGAAAAATGCAGGCATGTACAGGATATGAACCCCACGACCCCTACATTTTTACCTTTGTCAACTCTGTGCTGTCTGTCCAAGACTTGAACTCCCTCTTCAGGTCTCTCTCGTATTGCCGAGCATGACACTTTTGGATCAATTTATTTTCCAGGAAATATGTTTCAGGACAAAGATGCTGCCGAGAGAAATTTTACTCACATTAACCATTGTTTCTCCACCGGCATTTACAAGATTGAAATAGTAATGACAAGTGCACTCACCTGAAGTGATTCACAGTCTGGCCACACACTAACCATAGTGTCATACAACTGCAGAGACTCTTTTGGTGTAAGTGCCATATCACCTGGAAAACCACTTTCTAGAAGCTGTTTGTGTAAGAAAAATAGCTTGTGAGACTCTTAGGTAAGTACCTCGAATTAGAGGGAGGGTAGCGTTTGGGTTACAAATCCATGGATTTTGCCGACAAAACACGAATCAAGATAGAACTCGACACTTACAACGCCTAGATTTTCGTCTAAACCCTTTGAACTTGACAAATAGATTTCATGTTGCCATGCGTCTGTTCAATCATGGATCACAGATGACGTTAAAATGTGACAAGAACAAAAAAAGTGGCAGACGAGGTGCAGCCGAATTTGCTCTTGATATGCTTACCACATTTTGACGTCTACTGTGATCTATGGCTGTAGAGATGCATCGCAGCATAGAATTTTTTTTTTTGAGCGACATGTCGGTGATGGTGACGTCACTTATGGGTGTGTCCTTCCCGTGTATAGTTTTCCCCGTGTATAGTCCTCCGTAAGTATATTCATCTTAGCATATGAACTAAAACGGATAACCCGATTCCAAAGAAGAAAACCATGCACTGTTATGGGAATTGAATCTAGATTAAAGGCAAACGAATAAACGGATGTCAAAAGAAAGAACACATTACTTAAATTATTTAATAAGCATTATTACAAACAAAAGAATAAAATATTACACGTGTAATAATGCAGTTTCCACCTGTAGACTGAGGGAAAATCAATGTAATCGCGATTGTTTTCATCGGTCAAATGCAACCTTATGGTTCACTTTGGTTTTTGTCTTATGTCACTATATGTAAACTGTTAAAATATTGAATAAAGGGGGGGGGGTAACCTTCTACAGAAACTGTGGTGCTGCGTCAGTGGTAGTAAAACAAGATAATTTGGTTTTATCAGCTAAGGTGATAAATAAATGTAAATTGGCCACTGTAAAGATTTTCTAAAGCTTACAAATCTTGAATGTACTAAAGAGGAATCAACCACCTGACCTGTTTGTATCCTAGCTGGGCACATGGATGAAGTCTCACGAACTCCTCGTCGCTGTCGTTGTTAACATGTTGTCCTTCATTATTAGGACTTGGAAGGAAAATGCTCTTCTCCAGATCGGAGTATCTTTCTTCAAATTGAACTTAAAAATAAGCAAGGAATCAGAAAAAATCAATAAAAAATTAGGAATAACAAGAGATAAGTTCCTCAGTAAAAAAATGATATGGTGTGTCACTATAAAAGAAATAAAATTATCGACTTTATGCTTAACAGGAAGTAGTATACCTTCGCGAACCGTCATGTCACAAACATCTCACGAAAAAAAAACCAATAAGTTGAAATGGCTTTGAGTTTAAAATAAGTAAAAAATAGGTAAAAAGACACTCGGGGATAAGCCTTACAAAATATTTTTCCCCACCTAATCTGACCCGATATGACTCCCTCAGATTTTCATTGTTTTTCTTGTCCTGCTCTTCATGAAAGTCTTGGGCGGCTTGCAGCCAGCTGTACGTAAGGAAATGAATGCTTTTAACCTCTGTTATCAAAAAGGAAGTCTTAGCAAATATGATACTTCCAGTAGTTCAACAGAAGCCTTCAGGAGAAAAACTGATATCTCTTCAATTCTTACAGTCTTAGATCCTCTGGATTTCCAATGGTTGCTGATAGCGCCAAGAAGGGACTGCGAATCATAAGAAGGAGATGCTCCCACACTTCAGCTCCAGATTCGGAACCAATACAGTGAACCTATGTAGAGCGTCATAGAATTTACTTCAGTCTGACTTATTTCCCTTAAATTCTACACTTGCGGATAAGGGTAAAAATAGATAACTTAATATCAATTAATCAATCAATTATTTATTTTAACACGTTTCGTCGAGGAGCTAACAATTCGTTCAAAATAAGAACGTGTATGAATAAGATTTATAATAAAGTTCGGATATAACGCACGCTGTCATTGGTTGAAGGAGCGTGCTCTATGAGAGTATAGAGCGTAGAACTGAGCTAAAGCTGTCACGCCATCTGCCAAATTGTACCATGTTCGACCTTTTCCGGGACTTCTTTTTAGCTTTTTTCCGATAATTGAAAGTGAAATTTCGGAACAAGCTAGCCGGCAAGTAGTAACAGAAGAATCAAAGAAAGGTTTGTAAACATACCAGGCGCCGTTATTTACGTTATTAAAACGTGGGCAGATTCGAAAATCCTCAAAGGAAAAACAAAATAGACATTCCGAGTTTTAAAGATTTTCACGCTCAGTTAGATTGCAAGCTTACGTACGGTAATGAAAATCAAACACAGCCAACACTCGTATAGTATATAAAGTTCAGAGTTCAAAAACAAAACAGAACAAAACAGAAATGATGAAAAATATAACCATACTGGCATAATTGTTAAAATTCATAATAATCATGACGGTGTCTGAGCAAATATGATCATGCTGAAGTCCATCGCGGCTCACTTATCATGCCGCCCTTCGAGTGAAAAAACAAGAGCTCGCTCTGATATCCTTTCCAATGTGTTGAGTGGAAAGTCACTTCAGTCACTGCAGCCGAGTTTTGCGGCGCTGTCATCCCGAGCGATCTCCACGTTCCGGTGAGTTCGGCTGTCGTTCATTTAAAAAGCACTCGCCTTGAACAGTTTGTTTTCTACCTTGTCATGTGAAAAAACCCGCGTGTTTTATTAGCCATAATTCGGTTGAAGTTCACTGAACATTTCACTTCAAGCTTCTGAGTTAAAAACTTCAGGCAAAAGCGTTAAATTCGACCTGCCGAATTATTTTAGTTTGTAAACTATCGCAGAGTGTGAACTTTGATGGTTTGACACTTTTGACAGCTTTTGTCTTGTACAGCCAATCAGATTATTTGAACCATTCTAACAGGGATTCTGATTGGCTTATTGTAGCGTGCTCTATGAGAGAATAGAGCATGCTGACGACACTGTTCTTCGCTTTGGAAATAAAGTTTGTTTTGAAAATTGAAAGTAATACATGGGGAATTTAACGGATTCTTTATTAAGAAGTGGGAAGAAACACTCGACTACGTCTCGTGTTTCTCCCTACACTTCTTTCGTGCTCTAGCCGCTTCCTGCGTGCCTTATAACAGAACAGAGCACAGTCAAGGCTTCTCTATTTGTTAACTATACAAATTAGAGCTAACATATAATATCACACCATCTTGAAACAACTTAGTCAACATACAACAACTAATAATAAATGCGTAAAATATAAAAAAAGCTTAATCCTAAACTAGAAAAACCATAAGATAGCTAAAAACATGACGAGAAGACTATAAGACACGTTCTAAAAGCTGCAGTCTTACAATTTACTTTTAAAGTCATTTCCATCCCTTGAGAGATATAGTTGAGAGGGCAAATTGTTCCATAACTTAGTTAATGAAACTAAAGCTCATAATGAAACAGTACTCTATTTAAACACGAAGTACGAAGGAAACAGACATGTAAGAAGTAGCCTTGAATAGCTTTTTCAATAAACTCATCTTCTTAATTGAACAAGGAAACTCAGCGAAACTGCATGTTCAACAAATATTCACATGTTGACATGGCAAAAAAAGGATATGATGCTCTTTTACCTCATCAAAAATAACGTATTTTACGTTCCTAATCCAATCCTGTCGGCGCGGAGAGAGAAAGAGGATCTCCAAACACTGGGGGACTGTAACAAGAATCTGTAGGTAAATTGGCAAACAGTAAGGTACTTTTGAAATCTCATTCTGTATTAGGATTAAATTTTAAAAGTATTTACCCAACAATTGTAAGTTTCTAAGCCAGTGAGATCTAAGGCATTTTCTCATACTTTTGCAGAAAAGATGAGTTGATCCGAGGAAAAACGAAAGTTACTAAGCCTACCGATTTTCAAATTAATTTCGAGTTACCTGAGAATTTAGTGCGTTGTGACGATAGTCCCTAGTAAAAACACCGTACACTGATCTCCCACCAGGCATCCTTTTTGTAAACCGCGCATAAATTGTAGCAGCGACTTGATTGACCAAAGCCTTAAGGGACAGTAAGAACTGATTAGTAATCCTAATGATACAATAAATAAAATAAGACAACAAGGTTGTCTTGCTGTTTCTTTAAAATTATTCTACATGGGTTCAAAACTGAAATGGTATCTAGTTGACTCTTACACGGCTATCCAAAACTTGATCAAGCCGAGAAATGAATAAATTTGAAACAGTGGGTATCAAAATGTTGGCTTCGCTGACAGTGATCAGAACTAAATAAGGATAGCTTCTCTACAACACATACTGGTGGATGTTATTCAACCTCAACGACCCAGACAAATTTTGGCTGAGGTTTAGGTGAGTATTTGGGCTTTGAAGCACGTTCAGATGAAGTGGACTCTTCAGCCATTGAGAATTTAAAGGGAAAAATGCACCAGGAAACGTGTAAAGTTTCCCTCCACAAATAAAATATATAAAGAAATTATGCCGCTGATCGCGTTATGAAACTTCAATGAGTTGCCTCACCTCGTCATCTTGCATTTAAATGTGCTAAGCCACGGAGGCCACATTCTGAATCTTGCTTACCAACCTGGCCGCTTTCCTTCAATCCACCTATTGGCTCTCTCTTTGTAAATTTGAGAGCTCCACCAATATGTAATCTTAACTCAAAAAATTTTTTCAGCGACAACCATACAGTATATATTGGTGAAAGGCGTGGTACTGTTTTGCGTAAGTGGCCAAATTATTAAGCTGTTTTTAGCCCACGGTCGAGTTTTAGGCCCATTTAGAGACAATTTTAAAGGGTAAGGTCATTCAATTGTATATTTTTTGAATTCTCGAAATTTGGTGAGTAAAACATTTCTATATGTTTAATTACATGGTGTTTAGAGCACACTTTTCGTTGAACCCCGCCACGATACATAACTAGGCCGAGATTGTTTACTTACAGAAAGGAAATGCCAAGGAATGCCACTTTACCTTTGTCGGTGCGACATAGACCACTACACTATCATTGTCTTGCTTCAGAACTTTCTCCATGCAGTAGTAGGAGGCGTAGGTCTTTCCTGAAGAAGTTGGTGCTACTATCACAGCTGATTCATTGTTATCGACAGCATCGAGAAGTTCGCGCTTCGAAATGAACAAAAGACACTCTGGCATTAAACTAGAAAATTTCCTAAGTTTGCGCAAAATGATACCAACAAACGGCCTCGGAAGGGAACTTACCATGACTTTTACAACTATTATTAATGTTTCAAGCATGAGCATATCTTCCATTACGCATAGTAAATATGTCTATAAATATATACCTGCCATGTATCCGGAATAAAATGTTTAACCCGAGGGTCCAGATCGGTTCTCACTTCCCGCTTCAGCAAATGCCCCATGTATTCAAGTTGGAATCTGGTGCTTGTGGTGTAAACAAAAAGCCCTTCAGTCTAGGATCAAAATACATTTCTGACTTATAATTCTGAGGTATTCATCATCCTTACTTCATCAGTCCTCATTACTATTTTCTTTAACAATATCTTTGGACAAAAGGATATCTTTAAAAGATATTATTAACATTATTATAAAGAGTTAAGAACTATGTAAGCAAATTTTTTTTTGATATTCCCAAACAAGTTCATTCACATGTCACATGTCCCGCTATAGGCTTCTTTCCTGTAATTTACTTTATTGCAGTTCACCTCCGATGATCATTTCTTCACTAGTAACTTTTATTGTGTATAATTGTAACTTTGCACGATATATAGTGTATAGTGGTGTCGATGAGAATCGTGATTCGTTACATAAAACACGGTCCAAAGAGTCGTTTGAAATATAATGAGAGTAAGACTGTTAAGACCACATTATTTTGAGCAACTTGTAAACTTTGAATAGTTGATGTGGAATGGTATTTGTTTACCTTTATCTCATGATCTAATGGCATCTCATAAAACAAAGGAACAAGGTCGTCAAATCCTAACTTTTGCATAATTCCAGCAAGTTTCTTTCTGTCTTCATCATTCAGAACACTTGGGAAGTCTTGAGAAATTCTATGGACACTTTCCATCAAAAGTACAGGATATTTCAAATCATTAGATTCTGGGTCAGCATCTCCTAGAAAAGAAAAATGGTAATTTGTTAAATTGCAGTGTAACTTTATTATCCTTGTCGCGCAAACGCACCCTTAGATTTGTTACTTTTGAATCCCGTCCTTGTTCTCTCAACAGAGCATTTTCAATCGCGTTTTCAGTCGCAGGTAAATTTATCAAAAGAATTGTCGGGATTTACTCGAAAAGAAGAGTTCCGATCCCAGAAAACTGACTTGGAACACCAACATGCACAAGGCCGCTTCCCAATTTACCTACCGTAATGTCTTGTGAAAACACTACGTTTTACTTAGACTTACTTGTCTGTTTCCAGGCTTCAAAGCAACAGTCCACTTTTGTCATGAGCGCGTGAAGACGAATTTCCAGAGATTTGCAGTCTAACAGATAATTATCAACCAATTCAAGAACATTACTGAAGTCATCTCTCCTCAGATTTGTTTCGATTTTTCTCAAAATGTTATCCCATTTTTCTTGATCTACCAATTCCGTTTTCTCTGTTAAAAAAAAAATGTGAAATAAATTTCAATCCTTTTTTTTATTGAAATTAACGTCTTGATCATGTTGGTTACAAAACAAGCATCCCTTGCGAGAGCACAAGTATTTTGTACCCAGGATATTTAACCTCAGATGTACAGGGCACAGAGGCACAGAGGCACAGAGGCACAGAGGCACAGAGGCATAGTTTTCATTTAATTACCGTGGAGGCCAGAATTTTTTCTCTTCCGTAGTTCTCCATTGGCGCAAATTTCAGTAAACTAGAAAAGATCAGCTCCGTACTTGTTATCTTATTACACTGGTTCCTTGTCTATGGCACATAGAAGTAATACAGCGAAACAGTTACGAAACACATAAAAGTGATGATATTTCATGGACACGATCCTTTTCATGGGCACAACTATATATATACGACTTACCGGCCATATTTTTAGAATTTTTCTCTTTCATTCCCAAAGCCTTTTTGCTCTGTAAAAAAAATCGAAAGTGAGCGTGTTTCTTAAGACAAGTTCGGGAAACACCTTTTTCGGACTGGAATTTCGAAGTGATTGTCGAGTAGACTCTTCAAATAAATCCAATGAATTGGCTACTCTACATTCCCAGTGAGGGTGAATATCATTTTCCCTCAAACAAACAAACTAACAAAACAAAACACAAACAAACAAATGAGCACAAAAATCATGCAAAACATCCAAAATATCTCATATCTTATTCGAATCAAACGTCCCAACAATGTATAAGAAATTTTAATGAAGGACTTTATTTTAAGATTTAGAGGCTTCTATAATATTCTCCTTGACAAAACTAACCGTTTTAGGTTCCTTTCTTTCCCGTTTTTTTTTCCTTGACCCTGACTTTCGGGCAACGATCGTTTTTTGTTGATCAGCGCCACCAACAAGTGAATCGCCGTATAATCTTTGATAGAGAGGATATTTCTGCTTATCTTGAGAATACCGTTTCTTTTGCCTACGATCTTTTGGAGGTTTTTCTGGAAAGAGATGTATTGACAATATAATTTAAAGATATGCTGCGATTTCATACTGTGAAAACAGTTCTTTGCTGGTTAACTTTCAATCTTAATAAGCTTGAGGGTATTTACCAGTAATAGATATCTTAGTTCTGTCGTAATCATCAGAAAGAGGCTTAAGAGAATGCCAGTGATATCGTTCATCAAATTCTCGGCCAACATTGGGTACTTCGTCATCACTCATTTCTCTGCGGAGCATGAACAAACCAGGCATGAAATAATATTACAAAAAAAGAGAGAAAAAACTGCATAATAAAATAAAATAACAAATCGTTTTCAGGGTTTCTGTTGAGTTCGCTTGACGAAACTCGTCAATTTAGTTAGTCTTGCATCCTCTTGGAATGCTTGGAAACTTCCTGAACTCGTAGTTGATAATAAAAGGGGAAAGGTTTCTGAAGCGCGACAAATCTCTTAGTTACGAGATGTCGTCGGATTTTTCGAGCCTGACCGTGCTTAAATTAGCATTCCAATTATATTCATTTATATGACAAATAGAAAAACTCAATCAATGAATAACAACAACAAAATGTTTCACGGTTTTGAAAACTGTGCATCTCGTTTAACTTTGTTAAATTACAGTCGTAAGCCACACGAACTGCGAGTTCAACGGACACAAATGGACAAGGACGAGTCGCGCAGACTTAACAAGTTCCCCCAACGAGGAAAAACCAAGCATAAAGCCACATGAAAGACAAGGCGTTAGCTTTTTATTATCTTACTCTGACATGGCGTTAATTTCTGTCCGAATATCTCCAGCATAGTCATTCACAAGATCACTTTGCACCTCAGTAAGTCGCCTAAGTTTCATGGTGGAGTTTGCATCAGAACGTACAACCGAAACTGTTGAAGCAGAAAAAAAATGAAAAAAAATAAATGTTTTCAGTTCTCGTCCCCTGATTTGGCGGTTCAAAAATATGAAATTAATGCTTCAATTTTCAAAAATTAATTGAAACTATCTCGCCTACAGCTGTAAAATCGGATGTTTAACTTCTTTTTGTGGGAAAAGAGCCAAAATGGCGTATTATTTAACTTATTTATTTGAATGATCCAATATCTGACTTGTTTTATCCTGTTAAGTTTAGATTGACTTCAAAAGTCCTAGTAAGACTTTTTCAAGACTTTATTGTCTCTTACTTGCAACACTGCGAAAAAAAAGTAATTCAGTAATTGAAGTAAACAAGGTTAAACCATGTTTCCATAATCGAAAGAAGAGTAGAGAAGGAAAATTCACAATCCATGCCAAATGAAACGAAAAACAAACCCTTTAATTAGAGAACGTAGAGATAAATTAGGTAAAGGACATATATAAATTAGTAGATTCACACATAGGAATTTTCTGGAAACATTTCTCACCAACTGCCACATGAAAATCAGCCAAATCCTTGGCAAAGGGAAAAAACTCGGCCTCAAGGGAATGGGAACCGCATGACCTGTTAACAACATCTACAACATTTTTCCACGCATCTTCTACTTCCGTGATGACATCCCCTGGTAGACTGAGTCCTAATACAAGTAAATACAAGTAAATACAAATAATTATAAAGAAGATATAACTACAGGTGTAGTTAAATTTGGATTGTTACAAGCTATTGCACGTATTCAGCACAGTGAAAACTGTAGGGATGATTAACACGGCTGTAGCTAACTTGTACCCGTGTGCTCTCCCACCAAACGTGTAAGTAGAAAAACAATAAAATGAACAAGAACGAAAAAACAGAAAAATATCTAAACAAAACAGAAAAAAAACAATAAATCTAACGGTCCTAATAGTCCTAACAGTCCTAAAGAATTCTATTTCCTCGTCGGGAATTTCCCACGCGTAATGAACGCGCTCATTGGCTTGTCATTTTTATAACCCACCTTCAACGCCTTTTGACCTTTGCTGCAAGACAACTGAAAAGAGCGTATGGACCAGACGCCCATCCATTAAATCTGCTACAGACTTAAAAAAGCCATTGCCTGTTTGGTCTCTACGTGCATCCCCCTGCACATCTTGTACTGTCTTTAAAATCTCCCATAAACACCTATGGATCTGTCAGCAGATAATAAACGCATCACACGTTTGAGTGCTGGGCATTTTTTTTTTTTAAGTTGTACGCTCTACAAAAATGCGAAAAAATGAAAAAAAAAGTTCCTTTTAACATAAATCCTCTCGAGGCCAAAACCGCAGAATAGATGAACACATTTCTAAAACGAAAATGGAGACATGAAATTCAAAGTAATTTTAATAACTAAGCCTTGCTTACTCATACACTGTGGGAAGAGATAGACTACCTCCTTTATGCCGAATTCTTTAGAAAATCTTTACCTTCAAGATTTACCTAATTCGTCGAGGCTCGGTTACAGCTATCAATATGGACATAAAAGAGGTGGCTAACCATGTTTAGTCGCTTCATGCAAAAGTCTGTAATGTATATCATGCATTGTTGTCTGGAAAACGATGCAGTTGAAGTTGCACATCTCCGTTTAGGACAATGTCCAATTGCGAGAGAGTCCACGGCACGATAATTTGTTACTTAACCTCACTGACCTCGTTGAAGGGAAAGACGTTACCATCCTTTGCTCTGCAGAATTCATTCAACAAGTTCTCGTCTATGAAGTGAGCTCTACACTTCAACGGCAGTTTGTTCAGTAATACAATATGAAGCAAGAAAAGTTTCATTCTGTCCTCTTCAATTTTCATCGTTTTCTGTAAGCATAGTGGAAAGATAGACTTTAGTATCATTCCGTGAGTAACATTTTTTAATAGATAGTGATTAAGAAATTTCTTAATTGCACTTAATGTGTCCCTTCCATACGTACCTTGGTGTTTCTAGAGTCTTTGACAGCTTTAAAAAGGATCAGCGCACACCCAAGGACTGCGGCAACCTGCCGACAGCCACCTTGTGGAGGAGGCTGAAGAGCTTTGCGAACCTCTGCTTCTATGTCAATCTGAGGTACGTCCACGTGTTAAAGTAATAAAATAAATAAATCAATACCAACTGATTAATCACCAGCAAACGACAATATCAAGAACCACACATCTACATACATAAGCACCCCCCTCTCCCCCCCTCCCCCCAATTGCGTGAAACTCATTTTTCCGAGTTCAAATCCGATCACCGTTTACCAGGTCATGGTCAAATCTGTATGCAATCATGTGTGCACAATGAGAAATAACATTTAGAGACAAACGCTTCTCAGAATTTCTTCAAATTGAAAGAGGATCCAAACGTTCAATTTGGAATAAAATATTTGATTATTTGAAAAACAAGAAAATTGATTTTGCGTTGTTTGGCATCGGATCAATTGAACATTCAGCAAGAGGACTTTCCAAAATGAATATCTCATCAGAGACCGTTAAGTTATAAATATATTTTAGATAAAACCTTAATGGTGCGCTTGAACTGTGTCGAATATCACCCACCAGAGCATCTCGAGGAAAAGTCTCCGACCGTCTCGGAGAGGATTTATATGCCTGATCCTGCCAGTCACTCACTAGAAATTGCCATGTTTTCCTTATTGGCTGTTCAAACTAAAAAACCAATAAATGTAATAAAACACGTTTGTAAGTTTTATTATCTATAAAGGGGATGTTTGTGTGGGAAAAGAGCAACTCTTCATGTTTCATTCACGTTGCACCTGATTTCAAATGAAGGCAGTGAGAGGGAAAAACCGCCTTAAGGGTTTATCGTTAATTGAGTATAATAAATCTGAAACCATATTAATCAAAATGGTCAATCACACTGAGTAAAATATCATGAGGACCTAACGAACAGGAAACAAGCAAACGTGTGTGTGGGGGAGAAGACAGTTGCCATGTCAAGTTTTCCTTCAGTTTTGCAACTGCTTGTTTAACTGGAAAATATGAGTTTCCGCGACCAATCGTACTTTTAAGGGTAAATCAAAGCAATTGCAATGAATTAAAAACTAGTCTCGCGTGAAAGTGGATCAGTCTAATCCTACGCCTCTTGATAATTTTTTAGTTTCCGGTGAGAATAATTTTTACCTTCGTAAAGTAGTTTTTGTGAATAGCCGAGGAATTGATGTAAAATCCCATCACTTTGGTGGCAGTTATCTGGATGCCCGAAATGAACACACAATTCAATCCATGTGCAAGACAATGAAACAAGAGACACCGGAAAAAATATTGCATTGTTTCTTTTAGGTTGCCATGCTTCCAAGGAATGTTTTCAGCATCTGTCAACAGCACAAACGCAGGAACTTCGTCATTAACGTAATCATGCCACTCCTGTCCCCAGAAATCCACCATTGAAGTTTTCACAATAAAATCTGTGTTGTACTGGAGATGAAGAATAAGGGCTTCTCGAGCGAGCAGCAAGAACGGGTTACTTCTCCACATAATTTCCATTTCTTTAAGAAAGACGATGTGGAAAACACCACCTTGCGAGAAAAAACCACCGTTCATAAGATGAAAATTTGACTAGATTAAAAGAGCGAGAAAGAACCTTTTACCAGTTGTAGGTGATGGCACCTCCTTGCCCTGTCGTCCCAAGTTCCGTCGCCCCCATAAAAGTACCGTCGCTCTAAAGTATAGATTCGTCGCCCTTTGCTTTTGACTTGAGTTTAATAAAGGAACCATACCTCTGGGAGACGGAACTTGGGGCGACCAATTAAGGGGGGCCACGTCACCTGTTATCCCTTTTATCGTATTTATCAATTTTCCATTCAGTACACCACTCGTAAAACTCATGAAAAACGACATACGGCATCGGAGTACATTTCCAATCTTCATTAGTGAAAACAGTTATGACGTCATTGAGCGCTTTAACAGGGCTGTTTGTGTTTGTTCCGGAAGGCAAAGAAATCCCTTTCGATGAGAAACAACAACAACATGCCAACGCTAGGACGAAAACTTCACGCAACTACAAATTTTGCGAGTAATTCCTTGCAAGTGAAAAAGAAAACGAAAGGAAACCGAAGGGTGACTTCAACATATGATTGTAATTTTTGAAAATTAACAACACCATCTCACTCAGTCGCCGCGCTTATTCTACTTCCATTTGGTGAGAACCAAAATGGAGTTTGAGTTTGAGGTGAAGATAACCCATATGTGCATTCTTATGAAAACTGCCCTGTTGGAAGTGTTCAGCTATCTTTGCACTAACCTTTCTCTGTGAACTTTTGCAAAAATCGCTCCGTTAAGTATGTTAGATGCAGAAACTGTCCCCCGTTATTCCAGTCCAAGCTTTTCTCACCAACAATTTCTAACAGCAAGGAGTCGCCGTCAATTAGGAAAATCTCCGCGTCTGCAAAGTCTGTCAGGATGTTGACAAACCTGTTGAGCAGAAAAGGGAAACTGAGTACTTCTTGCTAAAGGAAACATTTTTCGTTCTCAAAATATTAAATGCTTGTTCCAAGATTAGGTAAAATGTTTTAGGTCGCCAATGCAGCTGCCACTCAAAATCCAAATCTCTCATCATCAGAATCACGAAAAACTTACGACTGATTCATTCCTGGGTATTTGTCATACTCCATTAAAAATTCGTCATTTTATCAATTTTCACGTGCATTATAATTCTCTATCTACTTCTTCTTCCTCTCTTATTGCCCCACCTCTTTCAATGTAGAAAATTCTTATGCGGAATAATTTAAATGTATAAACAATAACAGGGCCAAAACACAACACAACAACGTCCTTAACCGAGAAGACTGGAATGTCTAACCATTTCCAAATGTCACGGCAAAGGCAGCACATTCTCCTCAGATATTTTAAGACTCTGAGTGTTAGTTCAGTCTGGGGCTTGAAACCTCAACCTCCTGCATGGCAGTACAGCGTTCTAAGACGATAAGCTGACCAATCGCGGTCTGATCTGTATACTTACTTCGTATTCACTCTTTGGCCATAAAAACTCTCTCTGACCAAACGCATAACACGAGGTTCTTCTGGTCCTCCACCTATAACGATCAAATAGACTGGTACAAAATCTTATCGATAGTTAAAGCATCCTTTCTGTCGAATTTCTTGAGTTTGAAGTACAGGGTCCACAGTGACAGCTTCTCCACTAACATCGTTGAAAAAAATTGCTTTTTTGAGAAAGCTAAGTTCTGTTCCACCACTTAAGTAGTATGATGATTATTTCCCCGATAATTCGGGCGACAATGAAGAATGCAGAATATGCAAAATTATTTGCTATGGGTTCATTTGGAGGAGGAAATATTTGGCTCGGTAAAAAATAATTTGATACAAGTCAGATAACCTTCATTTAGTGTCCCTAGCTCTTTTGCCAATCGTTCTTCCTCCTTCTCGTCAATTAGCTCTTCTTCTTCATCTTCCAGTTGGAATTCTTCTTTTTCTCTTTCTTCTTCTTCTTCTTCTTCTTCTTCTTCTTCACTATCAGCTACAGCAGAAGACACAAAATTAGATTTCTACGCAAGTTACATTATTAATAAAAAGTTTGAGTGTAAGGAATGAAACCGCGCGCACCGTACTATTTCGTTGTTACAATTAGATTGTTATCTATTGGAGGACAGTCAACCACATGTAAGTAAAGTCTGTACTAGAGCCTAGTACCCTAGCCAGCTTTCAAAACAATTACTTGAAATACTACGTTTATACGACTGGTGGTTTGACAGAAAGCTGAAACGCTATGTTACAACCCACAACATTATTAAAAGAAAGAGACTGTATCTCCATTCGATTAACGGCACTCTACAGACCTTTACAGGCCCGTAAAGAGTCACCTGGGAAACTCAGTTTGACAATCACTTGCATACATCAAAACCACTAAAGAGAAAAATTTCTTAATTCTCTTACGAAGGTTCAGAACAAAGTCTTCCTTCCTAAACTCTTCACTGACATCGTCACTGTCAGTTCCGTCGGAGTTTGAATAATTATCTTCACCTTCATCGGCCATCCTGCATAAGAAGATCAAATATGTAGTTTATTCCGCTGAATTAGAAGCTGCTCCGAACATTTGTGGAACTTAGCCTATGTTAGTACAGTACGTATCATTACCTTTCTTTCTCTTAAAGGCAAACTTCAAATCCTGGGAGCGAGGGAGAGTACTTGGGTAGATTTTCTTTGGAGGCATGTGCCGTTGGCCTTTCAGAACGCATGCCCTATTTATTTCTATCATTGAGCCAATGACAGACCAACAACCTAGTCACTTTTGGTTATAAGGTTAACAACTTTTTAACCGCTAATCTTCCCATTTTAAAATCCCTAAATTTTGCCATCGCGGTTTCGGTGGTTCGCGGAGGACCCAAATTGTGGTAATTTCACGTTTTTGTTTTGCATGGAATGGCTAAGAAATGTACAAAGTTTTAAAACGCACGTGCTGAGCTACTGTTCTGCCAATTAGATCTTTTGTTTTTCCATGTACTCGTTACCGTCGCCGTTGTGGTTTTCTTAAGGTCCCTATTAATGTCGCCAGCTTATGTAAGACTTGAAACGAGACTTGAGCGTGAAATGTTTAAAGCATCGGTCAATCGTAGGTTTCATCCACGAGCACCAAATACCAACAAGATCGGGGAGAGGGCAAAAAAACATGATAATTTACTCTAAATATACAAAGCTTCTCTAAGAAGGAGCTTCGTCGAAGTCAGGAGGCGTAACAGCCCTTTCAAGCCTCGTGCCCTTTTTTTTTTTTACTCTTTCACCGCCCTACAAAATGTAGAATTTTGTTAGGAATCTTTAAATACTACACCAGAAAGTGAGGTCATGAGAACGACGTTAACTGAAATAGTATTTTATTAAACTGAAAGAGTTGATTTCTGAGGTTCCAGTCGACTTCCTGTTTGTGAATGATGGTCACGCTCCTCAACCGTGGTCACATAAGGCCGCTCACATTTCCGAAAGCAAAATAGAGGGGAACAATGATACAGTCGAAACTTTATAAGGTGGCTTCGTATTAAGCGGTCACCCTAAAAAAAGTGTTTGGCTGTCAAAGTACCGAAATGTTTTAAATTTTCACTATTTTTCACCTCTATTAAGCGGTCGTAGTCTCTAACAGCCTGTTTTTTATGCTAATAAGATTCATGAAAAAATTATTCAGCTCTGATTGGTAAAGACAAATGCAGTTTTCAGGTAATTCAATGCAAGAGAGGGTTAATTCAGTGCAAAGAAGTAACAAAGCAGACTGAACAATGCCTTAAACTGTATAGCCGGACTTTGAACTTTTTTTTGCGCCTCGAAGATGTGAAAATGTCATCGTAAATTATTCCTTTGATCGCACGCAGTTGTTTTGACCGAACGCGCAATGTCACCCTCAGGGTTTAAATGAAATATTTTTGCAGTTAATGCGCGCGCTTTGCTTCTGCATAATTGTGATCAGCTATCTCGTATTTTTATGTATATCATTAATATGTAATCACATGGTTTTTTTTTCGTGCAATTTGAAATAAATAAGCACTTGTAAATTTTCTCAGTCTTTGAAAAAATATATCGTGCTTATTTATTCAAAATTGCACTCGAAATCATGTGATTAAATGAAATAAAGAACTGGTCATTATTTTTGTAGAGGAGGGGGGAAGGGAAAAATAGGTTGGAAAGATGAACATTTCAAGAAGCTCCCTGCGCTCACTATCGTTCCTCTAACAGAGAGAATATCAAAATTGTTCGTCTACGGTTAGTTACCTGAAAAATATTATTCCATGTAATTTTCTTATGAAAAGTAAACTGAAACTCTGTTGTATCTCCAATAGTCCCAAACCAAAGATATATTGCAATCTCGAATGAGTGAAGACTCATTAACAAGAGGAAATGATAATATTTCAAAGAGGGCCCCTTGTCTATCTGGACTTCGCCCTCTGTGTGAAGAGTCTAAAGGCGGGAGAATTGCGTGAAAAATTCACCATCAGAAGCATTTAGTAACATGTGAATTTTTTTTTTCAGTAGAGTTGAGCAATGAGGTTAGAGTACGTTATTAAATCCAGTCTTTTTGCATGGAATTAACACGAGATGGAGCAAAGTGTAATTTGGCAAAATAGAATTTGATTGGTGGAATACAATTCAAGCACGTGAAAGACTGCCTAATATTCATTGAAATGCAATGATTAGGTATGTTCTGATTGGACTTAGGACGTTGTTTTCATAGCAAGTGCAAATATAAGTTGTTTGGCGCGTAAGGAGCGGAATAAAAACATGTTTTAACTTTAAAATAATACAAATGGTGCGAACCTTTCATGTCAAGATAAATCTCGAACTTAATCAACAAGGCTCTCGCGACGGCCACATACCTTTGCAATTAAAAAATTTGCATAAAATTTCAAACTCGAGCCGTGACGAACAAGGACGAGCAGCATCAGCAAGGAGCAGTTCACAACATCCTCCCTTTGAACTGGTTCCTCTTTCCATTTCTACAATGCGCACAGGATATAACACGCGGCCGGTAATTGATATTCAAAAGCAAAAGGAAACGGGTTGCAGATTATCTCGTAACACTCAGTTTTCTCGTTTCTCACTAAACATTCTTGTAAGAAATAGAGAAAGCAGGAACACAGCACTTTAATTTAGATCGATAGCCCTTTCATAACTTGTAGAAAATGATGTCATAAAGAGTTCGTATTTTGATTTGTCGCCTAAGTTTTTTTTCTGACTGAAAATACCTACCAAGTTTTATATTATTTAATAAACAAGGAGCGGTTCACAACATCTACTACTCGAAACATGTGTTTGTGACCATTGGTTCCTCTTTCCATTCCTACAGTGCGCACAGGATATAACACGTGGCCGTTAATTGATATTCAAAAGCAAAAGGAAACGGGTTGCAGATTATCGCGTAACACTCAGTTTTCTCGTTTCTCACTAAACATTCTTGCAAGAAAAAGAGAAAGCAGGAACACATCACTTTAATTTAGATCGATAGCCCTTTCATAACTAGTATTTGTCTGCGATCATATAGCCTGTGTATTTTTGCTGGCCCACTTTGCCTAAAGACTGTATGAAGCATAAAGGATTGTCTTTTTTTCCACAATGTAATAGTTTTTCTTATTTCATACAAACTTGCAATGTTACTGATGGAACACGAGTGGGTGAGACAAAAAATCCACTTAATTTTATGAATTATTTCAGAGCTTACCTTAAAATGACGTTTCATCAAAGATGAAGTGTTGAATTCGTCCTTAAGAACCTGTTAAACTTGCAAAATTTGGCAAGACCGAAGATACTTTGATGAGTTCTTCAGAAGGCGAGTCAACACGAAAAGTGTCTGTCAGAATGAAACGGTCAAATGCAAATAGCTAATTCTGGAAAATTATGCAGGTCAATTTCCGGTTTTTAGATTAAATCCAGTCTTTTTACATGGAAATAACACGAGATGGAGCAAAGTGTAATTTGGCAAAATGGAATTTGATTGGTGGAATACAATTCAAGCACGTGAAAGACTGCCTAATATCCATTGAAATGCAATGATTGGGTATGTTCTGATTGGACTTAGGACGTTGTTTTCATAGCAAGTGTTTCGTCGAGAAATTCTATAATCGATCATTAAGTTAATTTATCTGCTAATAAGATACGTTGTAGTGATGTCGTAATACTAATGCAAGTCATTTGTCAGCTGTGGACCCAACCGACTCACTGGGTAAATAACATACTTAACTATATATACATGCGAAAGACTAATCTTTCATTTATTTATTATCAGTGACGATTTTTAGAGAGAACGTTGAGATTTTTAGACCTTTTGAGTATTATAGGAGTTGGCGGCTAGAGATCAGTTTTGGAAAAACTTATCTTAGAACTAAGCCAACTTTGTATACTACTTTCTTTACGACGATAGTTATTTTTGACATCATGTCGTGAAGCTTGCTGATAGCATTTTTGTGGTAGAGTGACTGAAGTCACGCGGCAGCGCAGAAGCCAAGCTTCAAGTAGAGGATGGTGTGACTAAAAGTCACCTCTCGCTTGGACCGTGGTGGTGGAACTGAGGTGGACCTGTGTTACATAAGCTAGAGGGCACTCTTTCTGGTGGTCTCAGGACGTAGAAGAATCAAATTTCTTTCCTTTATAGTTTTCAATTGCTGGATTTCATTTTTCTGAAGTTTAGCTCGCAGAAGCGCAGAAGCAACACTTCCAGCTGGGGATGACGAACGTTAACTGAAAATTTCTCGCTGCCACCAAAGATGTTCACTCAAACGCGACAGGATGCAAATGACTCACTTTTTGTTTCACGACTATGATACAACGCAATAAAAGAGTGGCGTTGATGATAAACATGTAGTGGAAAATCGTAATGCGTGACATTCTCAGAAAAACCAGAAGTTGATGATGTAATACATTGTGGACTTTCCACAAAGCATTACGAGTTATAAATAGAGAATAATACATGGGCGCGCGAAGATAAGGAATTTCTTTTCGAGTGTTTAACTCGATAGCTCACGAGCGAGCGCAGCGAACGAGTCAGACGTCCAGTTGAACACGAGAAAAAAATTTCATAACTTCCTGCGACCATGTAATATTTTGTTTATTATAAAAACACAATAGCTCTTTACTGACTTAACAAATGAATGAAAATAAAGCGATCGACAATCCCCGAATAAAAATCGTGAAGAGCGTTGGCGCCAAGGCTCAAATGAAAACATAGGCATGCGTAGCATGCAAGAGTTATCTTTTTTGGCTGGGCGAGTTGAGATGGGGCACTTTCTGTACCTAATGTCTCATTTTTGTGTCATAAAGAGAGCATAACTTTAAAACGGACGAAAACATTGCATTACTTTACCTTAAGAGTAAGAAAAAACCTAATATAAGCTCACAAAAGTATTTTGGGGTCTATTGTCTCTACTGTTCAAATACTTCTTAACAAAAATAGAAGGCCTCGGTGCCAAACTTCCTGATATCTCCCCTTGCAGCAGTTATTTGGCCTAATTTCGCGTAAATTTTACAACGAAAAGGAAACTGAAATTCTTTTGTATCTCC